GGGGGGGGTGGGGGATCCTATCCTGAAGTCCTTCGAGATACTAAACACATTCGTCCTGTTTCTTCTTTTTTTGCTCCTTCCGTGTCTTCTCCTCGAGTTCCTTCTGATGTTTATAGAATAAAGCGCAAAATGCTGACCAATCGAGTGCTTCCAGGTCTTTTTCGAGCTCCTTCTTTGTAGCAGGTGGAGCTGCTGGTTAGTACGGTTAAGCATTCGCGTGCGTAATATGGTTTACAAGTCGTCGCTTCGAAGCATCGAATTAACATCCGGGTCCATGTGCGCACATGGCTATTTGGGCTTGGTGAGTGCAGGCTAAGCGAGCCGAAAATGGGGGGTGTTCTTCTTTTGTGTAATATTTGCTGGCTCAGTTGAGGGCTTCTACGAGCACAAATTTCGGTGGGTTTTCTTCTGGTTTGCAGGGCAATTTAGGGCCGTCAACAAGCAGATTTCGGTCGGTTTTGACTGGCAGGCCCAAGGAAGGTATCAATCCGAAACAAGGGTGCAGAGAAGGGGTGAGAATCGGTTGCGGCAAAGGAATACATTTGCCTGGCAGGTCCTTTAGAAGTAAGTTTCTGTCAAGAGCTAGAAGCCGGTTTGTAGACCGTTATCCTTTGCGAAGTAAACTACCTGTTTAGGGTATTATAAGTAACTAGGCTATAAGGTATATAAGCGAGATTAGCTAGCCTATTTAAATCTAGATGTAACTAAAGATAGCTTAATGATTACCGCGGTTAAGTAACTATATACAAGTCGGACCGAATATCTTAATGTGACGTAGACGCACAAAAAGCTTGGCCTGACAGTCAATGAAGATACTGTAAGACGCAAGCCTAGCTCTTTAAAGACACACTTGTAGCATCAGAAAATTGCTTAGGACTTAGGGCCAGCAAAATCACACGACAGCATGAACTATAGCGAGTCCTCGCTACTTTGAAGGAAATCAATTGGCAATATTATTGTAATATTCGAAAAACCGCAGCAGAAGACTAGTCGAGAGCACGTGAGATAAAGTCTTCCAGGTCTCATCCTACCTATGCTGATTTCGATGGGATTTCAAAATCCTATTTTCAAAAGATTCGAAATGGTCGGGACGAACGACGATTCTATCAAGGAAAAATGGTTGGCTCGTTCTAGCAAGGTCTCGGCGCTGTGATAAACCCGATTTGGAAGCAAAAAACCTAGACATCACGAAAATCTCAGATGTCCAAGAATATCAACGACCAATTATTTACGGATGACAAAGGCGATTTCCTATATCTATCTTGGCCGAAGCAGGATTATCAAGTCAGATGAGTGTGCGAAGATTCTCAACTTACGGAAGTGTGCTAACAGAAGATAACCTTCCATATTATTTGACAAAGCGAAAGTAGTTGACGTTAGGGGTAAAATTGGTGGAGGTGTACTTCAAATTATCGCGATATCAGCCTGGCCGTTATCCAAGATTGCTATGTGGAAAGAACAGGTGTGAACTCATATCCAGAGAATTTGCCCCAAGACAAGTCCTGTAATTTTCTACAACACCCGAATACTTTAGCAGGAGGAGTCGATACAATTTTGAGTTACAATTATGGAGACAAAGAGTAACAATTAATGATAAGTATTATTTTGTTACTCTTGTAGGGGTCCAGGATCCTTTTATCCTAGCAAGAGGGTCGTTCCTGTGAGATTTTATTATGTGTTCGCCCCATCACGAGAGAAACAAAAGACTCAAGTCAAACTACATCACTTGCATCAATATATGCTCACGCAAACCTGAACATACTCGTTTATACATATATATATATTTATAATCCAGCTACCTAAGCAGATAACCAACGTTGGACGCGTCTTGACGTACCTGGCGAACAGTGGGTGGAGGTCGCTCTTTCCTTCCTAGACACACCACATCCGCCTCCTTACGCTCTTTCCTTCTATACAACCCAAAATAGCCTTAGCAAATCATGAAACACATGATGGGAAGCAAATAAGACAAAACTTGGAATCGATTGGTTGATGAGGTTGATGCACTTGCACTTAAGACCAGCCTCTTGGTACAATCTTCGGAAAACCAATCCGCAAATCTCGCTATCGTCCTCTACTATTCGACATCTAGAACCAAGCATCTTGAGTACGGTGGGGTAGACGACGAAAGCAACCCTGTACTTTGTTTCTCAGAAGGATTTTTCTCAACAACCACCATCAATACATGGTTTACGATTCTTGCCCATATTGTATGGAGATCGTCGATTTTGATTTTTGAACATCGAACTCGTCATGAATGATGGGACGAATATGAGGAAGCCTGTGCAATCTATCACAAGTATATGAACTCTCTAGGAAGGATTCGCCTGGTCCTCGGCAACAGCAATTACGAGCTACAAAGGACTTCAACATTGCACGCGATGGCTGAGTTATTACTGTGGATTTGAAATTGCCGCCAGGAATACCACACATACTCTTCCAACCCCGGATTCATCTCCGTCTTGGATCTACTTCTTGATAAGGAGAATCCCATTTCACAGGTGGCTTTTTATGCTCATCACCCACAACACATACTTATGGGAGCCGGTGGAGTAGAGTCAGCCGCAGGAGTGTTTAATAGCTTTTTTATGAAACTCAGTTGCTGCTCTCTCTGGTATTACCGCTGTCAATCAGACGAACATGGCATACAGAGCCGGGCAGGCTTAAGAACAGATCAGGAACCGCGGGGACAATCTGCGAGTACTTAGTTTGCTCGTGTAAGATCTTACCATCGCTCAATTGTCAAGTAGCGAGGTTAACCGAGGCTAGTCGTATTATCTTGAGCCGCGAACCGTGGATCACCGACCTCAAATATCGACCGTTACAATTTTCTAATCAGCATGCTCTAAGTGTACGAGCCGTCATGACCTGGTTCGGGCCATGCCAGGAATCCTCTACTTCTTTGGGCTCTCCTCTCGCCCTCCCCTCCTAGACTTTGTCTAGCCACTCCGGAACAACCCTAGCAATGACAATATTTGCGTGAGTTCTAGTATTCAAGTGAGGGTTCCATGGATCTATTTACGGTATGAGAGTTACAGTGATGTATGCCATAATCGAATGAATCTTTCCACCAGAACCTCGTCCAGATACCGAAAACTGGAATGCAGCTTTTTGAGCAAGTCTCGTCAAAATAAAGGGTTTTGTTCCTCACCATCCGACTAAATCTGTGCAGTAGAGATAACAAATAGTTGACAACTAATTGATAATATACTACACTTGTATACTAAAAGTCTCTAATCTTGGTATAATCATGTCATCCAATCATGGCGCTCATGATGAAAGGCCTAACTTATTGAGTGTAAGAGGTAGCAGTAAAAGGCTGTTCCTGGAACGTACCTTTGGGATTATTAGTCTCCCCTATCAACACTATTATCAAATAATCAATAAAAGATGAAACTGCTTGTCTAATCAAGGATTTTCTTCAAAGTTCAGACGATCAGAGACCTGTTTTCAACACCCTCTATTTTAGCGTGCCAGTAGGTCAGATTCTCTTTTCACGCCTAGACTTTAAAGGAAAACTTCTTTGAAGAGAATTCTTTGAAGACTAGAAAATCAATCTCCAAAGAATAGGAGAAGGGAAGATGCACTTCAGCAACATGAGCAGTGCACAATTTCACAGGCACGACCTCGTTATAATACATTGTCATACAACATTTCAATCAAGTTGCTATTATACAGGTGATCTTTTACCTCCGCCTCAGATACCAGGTGTATGCTAATTGCATTGTATCATATGCGAACGGCGTAGGTACCTCCGACAAACCAGGTCTTGCAACAGGATGTCTCAAATATACCGCAGAGCAAATTCTGTGATTGACTTCCAAGTATCGAGGAATGAATGCAAAAGCACTCATATATGGTCTTGGAGCCCAAGGTGTGGCATATGGTTTGGATTCGTCCACTGGGTTCTGTCGCACACGTAGCAGTTTTTTTCGCATTTGTTTTTGTGCCTGTTGCTGCGGAGTTTTAACACTTACACTGCTTGGGGGTGTAGCGGATGGGGCATCAGATGAAGGTATGACGGTAAGTGAAGTGCCCGACTTCTCGGCGGATTTTGTCTTTGTATTTGCGATGGAAAGACGAGCAAAAAGCTCTGAGAGATTCTCCTGAAGATCCTTTACAGTTTTCTGGTTGACCTGAGCCATGGCTTTTCGTACATCCTTAAGGAACTGCCGCAGTTCCTGTTTGCGTTTTGCTGAAGGTGGGAGCTTTCTGTTGTCCATGATGGCCTGTACATGCTTTACCAGTTCTTGGAGATCAGCTTTTCGCTGCTTCCTCGCCTCCTTTTCGTCCATTGGTACATCTCGACATTTTTTCGAACGGACTGTTTCTCCAGGAGCAGCACGTTTGGCAAGCGCTCTCTTCACGGCCTCCTCTCTAGCCGTTGCCCTTCTCTCATGCCGTCTGATATGTATCAGCCTTCTCGCCTTCCTTATCTCACGACCCTCTCTGATTTGCTCGGGTGATTTGGCTGCACCCGTTGCATATAAGACTCGTTCTGGCTCAACTTGGAACATATCACCAGGGTTGAGGAGATATCCTGGATATTGTATCTACCAAATGACTTAGCACACAATATCTTGGAATTATTGTGGCGCATCTCGTACCTTTTTCCCATTGACTTTCACGCTACCGTGGGTCACAAATTGCCTTGCCTGTCGTGCACTGCTAGCAAACAACGCCCTGAATATGGCTACGTCCAGACGTCGTTCGATAGGTGCATAGGTCATTGACATGTATGGAACTCGTCGTGCTGGCCTCTCATGTTCTCTCAATGGATCGCCAGGGCGCTTTTCCGCACCAGAACCTCTTCCAGCAGCTTGTTCCGAGCCATCGTATTGGGCCAAGTATCTGTGGTCCATTGGTATTACGGCATTCAACCGAGAATCAAACATTCCTTGCCATTGCTTTTCTCGAATCTGCTCTCCGTGGTATGCTCGAGTTGCTGATTTGGCCGCCCATTTCTGCTGGAAGAGGGTGCCTATGTTCGGACGTGCCTTTAGTCGACTGAGATTGTAGAGATTGTATTTGTTCCATGTCATGCGAAATTTCTGAGGGGAGAGTCAGCAATCAATCCAGCTTCGATCACAAGAGACACAATTGAGCACTCACCACTCGCTTGAGGCCATGGAAACGTGTTCTTGTCATATTGGTGGGTTGACGAGCTCGAGTGATGTCAAAAAGGCGAGTTCGAGTTCACTACCTAGGCTAAGTGGTGCTGGTAGTAGTTTCTTGCACTCGGGCTGTGCCCACTACCACGCTACTACTGTACCAAAATTATTATCCCGCCCCGGCCGGGGCCCGACTAGCCGACCCCGACCAGCACGCTAGTGGCACGGACTTAAAGGCAAGACTTTTGCGCTCCAAGCTCTTGCTCTCCCACATTTTCCTCCAACAGCTCCCAATCAGGAACATTTTTTTCACAACGAGAAAAATACTTAGTCGCAAAGATATCTCGAGTCGCATTCATCTGGCGCTGCAGTTCAGGTAAGTTTTGCCCTATTCAAGTTGTCCAAAAGTCGAGAAACACCCCCCTAAACCCTGTCGGCGCAGCTTTTTCACCCCGCCATCGAGTCGCATAAAACTTCAGAGTCACCTTCAGACGAGTCAGAACATTTGGCGCATTTACAAAAATTACCTTGATTGATCACTCTACGTCCACATCTATCCCAATATTGTTCATTGCGCAGAACTTGCGTTTGATTGCAATGTCGGACCTTCCAGTCGACACGACTGCGCCTGAAGCAGCCACAACTTCTCCCACCAACGACCAAACTGTGCAGCCCGAGCCCGTTGGGGCAACCGACAAAGAGGCCACAATGACCGAGGCCGAGAAGAAAGCGGTCGAGGATGCTCCTATCAATTCTGAGGCCAAAGTTGAGAAAGACGGTGAAGCTGCTACTCTCAAGAAGCATGAGGGGAGCAACCACCAACACGCAAAACGTGAAAACCATAGCAAATATGATCCCTCTGTTTTGTCTCAAGACGACGACCCAAAGAAGATCTGTGCCCAGGTACGCAATATCATCGCATTCTGCAAGCTACTTATTGTCTGACATTTTTATCCAAGGTTGAGTTCTACTTCAGCGACTCAAATCTTCCCCAAGACAAGAACTTGTGGACCCTGACTGATGGCACATCCAACAAACCTGTTCCGATCAAGGAAATTCACAAATTTGGTCGCATGAGACGCTTCCAGCCTTATGAGGCAGTGGTAACTGCGCTGAGAGGAAGCAAGTACCTTGATGTTGTTGGTATTGAAGGCGAGGAGGGCATCCAGAGAAAGGCTCCTTATGACCCAAGCACTCGTTTTAGCTCCGGCGTCGAGGCCAGAAGCGTTTACGCCAAGGGCTTTGGGGACGAAGAACCCAGCTCTCAATTCGATATCGAGGCTTTCTTTGCCCCTTACGGTCCTACCAGAGCAGTCCGCCTTCGTCGTTCTGCCGAGGACAAACTTTTCAAAGGATCGGTTTTCGTGGAATTTCAGGATGAAGAGACTGCCCAAAAGTTCATGGAACTCGACCCAAAGCCATTGTGGAAAGGCAAGGAAGAACTGAAATACATGACTAAGGCTGCATACTGTGAAATGAAGATTGAGGACATTCGAGATGGCAAGGTAGAGCCTGCAGTCCAGAGAAGCTTCCGTGGTAGAGGACGCGGCAATCGTGGCGGTGATCGTGGCGGTAGAGGCCGTGGAGGCTTCAAAGATCGTCGGGATGACAAGAACGGCGACAACGATCGAGCAGGTGATCGCGATCCAAACGATTGGAAGAAGAGACGCGAGGAAGACAGAGCATCTGGCTTCAAGAACGATCGCCGCGGTGGCAGAGGTCGTGGCAGAGGAGGCAGAGGAAGAGGTGGTAGAGATCACAAGAATGACAGAAACCGTGAGCGTGATGGGTATGCTAATGTCTTCATATTCCAACTTTTCACTAACCATGAGACAGTGACAAAGACAACAATGAGACCAAGGCCGAAGCCAAGTCTGAAGGAAACAACGATGCCGCACCTGTCAAGACTGAGCAATCCTCGCCAAACGGAAAGAAGCGATCCCGCGACGAAGAGGGAGCACCATCCGAAGCACCGGCCCCAAAGAAGATTGACATTAAGCCAGAAGTCACTCCAGCAGCAGCATCATGATACCCAAAATTGTGTTTTTCCACGAATTGATTCGTTTTCTCAAAACTGCACGAAGGAATGCATTACACGGTTGTATCAATTGGCGTTTATGGCATTTGGGTGGTTGGGTTTATCATTTTTGCTACCTTTTCCGAACTACATTTACATTGTATTCTTTTCCTTATTCAATCTCTGGGACTCGCATTTACGATTTCTTACAAAGGTGCTTGATATGACACTGACCTGTTGTATGAAATGCATGCTACTCGTTGGAGTCGACAGTGGTCACTGTTTTTTGACGATTTGTCTACGATTGCATAATCAGCTCGTCTCTGTGTTGGTTCATAGGAATCAACATAATGTGATCTGATCATAAATCAGAATGAAATAAGTTGAGCCAACATGTTACTACATGACTCCTGTAAATATAGACTTTACACTTGTACCTGCAAGCATTTCCTCAGGGTGACTGGCAGCCACATATGACTAGTTTGTGAAGTGAACTTGATATGTAGCCTCCAAGAAGGTATTTGGAGCGACTCGTCAGGCAACGAATGTGGGGGTCTGAGGCAGTGGTTCAGGATGATTTTTATGGCTGGAGACTATTGCTAGATCGATGATAATCAGAGAAGGGTACATTTACAACTGTAGGTTTGAGGTGCAATTTTCGGCGGCATTCATGATGACTCAACCGCCTTATGATACGCCTCGGTATCTTTGTAGCTCTGGATGAGTTTTGGGAGAGCTCTGTTGTTGAAAGCCAGTCAGTTGAAAACTGTTTCTTTCTTAACTCAGAAGGAATAAGAAGAATTTAGAACAAAATGAAAAGTCATTGGCTCCAAAGAAGTTGAACCACAGAAGAGGACAGACGAGTATAGATTCAATTGCCACTCTCGACGAACAGGGTAGGGGAGTGGCACAATTCTTCGTTTCAAGCCATGATATCAGCTTCCCTGCTTCCTCCACCATATGGAAGTTTTGCCATACCAACGATTTGAATGGAAGAACAAAGTGAAAATAGGCCAAGAGTATGCAGATATACGAACTCTCGTATTTGTGTTCTTTGCTGCGACGCATAAAAGTTACATTGATCGATTCCAAAATCAATGGGTTCGTGAAAGCAGACACGAATCACTCGTTTGCAATTATGCCTTTCTTAATCTTGTATTGCCGCAGGTGAATCTATCCCATTTGATTTACAACGCCCTTGATATGTACATTCCGACTCCAAACTTGTTCCTCATCATGATGATGATGATGAATCGTTCTTCTGCGCCTTCTCGTGTTCGATAATTTGCTTACTCCAGCTATGTCACGGGTCAGAGTCTTTTCTATCATATGAAAATTAGGCCACCTACTATCGGCTTGGGAAAAATCGACCTTGCTCAGGAAATTTATATCGGTGTTCTCTCTGTGCGCTCAAGTTCCACATCATAGCCGTGACTCCGAAGACACACGCTCCCATAATTGCTGTATTGACCTTCCAGTTTGAGGGTTGAGAGTACCAGCCACCAGCTGGGGACCAGATGTGCTTGGGGTATCTGTAATTCGAGGTTAGTAGGTGTTTTGGAACTCTCTACTGCCATGCGCTGTGCCATTGACCTACGGTATTTTGCCGCCGCCGCCCTGGTATTTGTTAGCATATCATTCAATTGCCATCAAGAATATTGAACTCGCCATTTTGAATCAATTGATCAAATGCGAGTTATTGATCTGGTTCTGAAGCTTGAGTTGTCGTCCAGAGTGTCCGGGTAATTGACGAGAGGGTGATTGGATTAAGGTTAATTGCCGCCTCAAAACTGAGGCAGTGGGGCAACCTAGGAAATTTTGGTAGGGGACTTGAGCTAGAGAAAATCGATAAACGCCAACCACCAACAATCCTCAGGAAGACGTTCCTTCTCCGTCACGCACAGCTCGAGAAGACGAGGAAGGCTAGGCTGCTTGTGATCTCGATGAAGAGACTACGGCCGGAGAGGTGGGGCGGGCAATTGCTCACAGCACCCCGCAGGACGACAAGCAGAGGAGCTTCTCGCTGTTTACGGCAGCAACAGTGCCTAGCTAGGAGTTTGCCACGGGCTTTTTCATCGTCGGCGACGCACTTTACTGCAGCAAGCAAGCACGAAGAAATTGAATACGAGGATGGAGAGATAGAGACAATCGAGGAGGACGTGAAATCACCATCAAAATCGCCGACACCCGCCTTCATACCCCCACACCCTAACAAAACCTCCTCAAAACTTGGAGCTCTTCATGCACGTCTTAGACTTCCTCCACTACTCCCTCAAGAAACCCTCGCGCGAACATTAATCGACCCTTCCGCAAATTCCAAATCAGATTGCAACAATGCTACGCTCGCCCAACTCGGTGGCTCTATAATTGCCTTTCATGTCTCAGAATGGCTTTTAGTCACATATCCACGGTTACCAATGACTGTTTTGTTTGCAGCATCTTATGCATACAGCGGGCCCAAAACTCTTCAGTTGATTGGGAAAGAATGGGGCGTGGAAACAGCAGCAGCCCCGGGGAACGAAGTCGATCCAGGATTTCTACAATTCAAAAAACTTGCACCTGGCACGGAACTGGCAGGAGGAGGACCAACAGACCGACATGCAGCCACACGACGTGATAAAGCCTATTTCAGAAGGGGGGTGAGTAGTCGAGTGGTGTACGATGACGAGTTTGGGGACATCATTCCCAAAAAAGATAACCGAAACGCATCTGTGCCTACCGAAGAAGCATATGCCAGTTTTGTCAAAGCCGTTGTAGGAGCGATCCAACTGCACGCTGGTCGAGAAGAAGCCAAAGCATTTGTCAAAGATCATATACTCTCTCGTCACCTTGCCATCAACAGTCTTTTTCAATTCCAAGAACCCGTCAGGGAGTTATCTCGTCTATGTGCTCGAGAGGGGTTCGAACATCCCATTGCACGAATACTGAGCGAGACGGGTAGATTGAGTAGACATCCTGTCTTTGTGGTTGGTATTTTCAGTGGGAAGGATAAATTAGGAGAAGGGTCAGGCGCAAGTCTTCTGGAGGCACGAACGAGAGCTGCTGTTGCAACTCTAAAGTCCTGGTATCTTTACAGTCCTGGGCAGGATGCGAGAGTACCAAGTGACATGGAGGATGAGACAAAGAAGCATGAGAAGTGGGAGCCGGTGCATATTGACATGGGCGAGGTTATACACTAAACCACAATGGATGCGCCAGAAAAATCACAAAGATGAGAAGAGATTTGTAAGACATAGTGGCGATCTGTATTCCATCTCAATTCGAGAGAAAAAAATCAATTGAGGTGGGATTTGCTTAAAACAAAAGCAATTGTATTATTGACCATCTCCTTGCCCTGTATTACACATTGGGAGCTTAAGGAACGCAAGAAGTTAGAACTCTTGTAGAATAAATGTATATGAAATATCACGATAACATCCAAACCCCCCCTCACTTGGAACCTCACTATTCAGTCCCTCTGGAGTCTGTGCAGTAGGTCCATGACTTGGACTTGTATAGCTCCATGTTTTCTTGGATACCTACATGAAGATTTTCCTTCGATGTACATGTTCTTTTTTCGTCTCGAGGTCTACCTTATAGTGTTGATATTTTCGAAAGATACTTTTCCCGGTCGACTGGCTTGTCTTGTATCACGAACACTACTACATGCTTCTGGCCATATTTCCAACCAAATTACCTGGGTTATTAAAGTCCCTCCCCTCGATTACCAAAGTCTGGCCCATATCCGAGATGCAACAAAACCCCAAACTATCCATAGACCCCAAGTCCAGCCATCTACGAAATGCAACAGAGCTCAGAGTCAGAGCACCCAAATACATACATGATGCATACCTTACTCAGTACCTACCTAATGACCTAATCAATGCGTCGAATCCTCGCCCCTGCCATCAAAGACCCCCTTCGAAATCGACAAGGTTCTAGCCTTCCGACGAAATGCAACAAAAAGTGCTAATAGTGCAGAAACGATGATACAGACACTTCATCCTTCAAGGTCTAGCTGCAAGAAGCCAGGTTTCCCCCCCTTCCCCTACCGAGCCTATCTACAAATAAAGGCAGGGTTATAGAGTGGGAATGAGGTGTGGATTGAAGATTCCGACTATCGGATCTTAAAACTACTCTAGTGCCTATGTGACCAAATTAGCGTGGCTAAAGCCACCTAACCGATTACTCCCTCTATCTACTCCCCTCGGTCCATAGACTCCCCTGAGTCGATAAGAGGACCGACCACTTAAAATATAGGGGTAAAACCTCTAATTATATATAAAGTATAGCTCGATACTTGAACTATATAATCCCTCCGCTATATAATAGCTATATATCTTATAAAGCTTAAAAGATTAAATCCTCTAACCTGTAGGCTATATTCTATACTATATAAACTATATCTAGTAACTCTCCTAAGCGAAACCCGGAATATAAAGACCGTATACCGCTACTAGATAGCGCTCGGCTAATATAGAAAACCGTTTCTAAGGTCTAAACCGCGAGGTCGGAAGATTATAATTTAGGTTAGATAAGCTCTAGTTATTATATAGACGTTCTTTAGTAACTTAAATTGTAACGAATACTCAAACTGGCTAACTAAACTTGGCTGGGTGTTCGCTGGTTGGTATGCTATGATAAGAAGAAGACTATCGGGTTGTTCACTTGGAAGTGAACTCGTTACTTGTATCAAAGATGTCAAACTAATATGATAAGATTGATAACTAAGTTGAGCACGAAGCTCCTATCTAAATGGCAGACGTGCCAGTCTTATATAGAACCTTCGTTCTCTGTTGGATCGCACACATCACTTTCGTCGCTCGCGACTTGGGCGATCTGGGCGATCACGGTCACGTGATCTTTCCTATGCTAAGAAATCCCTGGACCGCTTAGCTAGCCTAAGCATCCCTTTTTGCTATAAGAGATATGATAGTGCTTAACCTGTCAGGGCGCCGCCTGGTCTTCACTTGTCACATGCTTACACGTGATTCGTGACATTCTAGTAGTTTAACCTTAAGATTAGACTAAACCTATTAAGGTACTTAGCTTAGCTAGAGTTAAGGTTAAAGTCTTTAAAGTAGAGGCCTTCTTTTTAGTAATCGGAATTATAATCTAGCTAGTATTAAGCTTAGCTAGTAGAGTTAAGGCTAATATACTATATTACTTTTAGTAGAGCTATCTTAACTTCTCTAAATTAATCTTCTTATTATAGCGCTCTTCTATCTCCTTTATAGTCTTTAGTATAGTTTAGGTGTCCTTAACTAAATCTAAAGCCTTTATAAGGTACTATAAGATAAGGTAGACTTTTAAAGAGCTATATATTATAACTTACTATTATAAAGTCCTTCGATAAAGACTATAATAATACTATTAAGTATAACCTTCTTAATAGAGCTAATTATAGAACTTATAGCTAGCCTACTAGTATCCTTACTATAGCCTCGGTAGAGTAGAACTATAGTATATTAATAGTACGCTAACAAGGACTTATCTTTATCCTAGGATAAGTTCTTAATATTATACTAGACGTTAGTCTTAGTAATATTAAAGACCGTAGTAGAGTATTTAGCCTTAAAAGCTTATTTAAATAGCATAACCTACTCCTTAGTAAAATTCTCTTTCTCATTAATAATAGCTCTAAACTTAGGTTCGGAATCTAGCTATATAGTAGTAAGACTATTAAGTAGAATATTAATAGCCTTAAAAAATGTCTCCGGAGTCGGATGAGAATAGTTCATAGCTTTAAAGTCGTACTAGAGTCGGGTAAGCTAGCGAGTAGCGCTATCGTCCCCCTTAAATTTTCTATATATCTTATATATAGGTAGGCGAGGTACTATAGGGTTAAGAAAGGTTAGTAATATAATATTTAGAAATTCTACTTAATAAGTAGTTATTGAGTAGTTAAAAGAGCGCGATGGAGTTCTAAATTAAGAGTTAATAGTATTAATAGTAATACTACTAATTTAGGGGCCGACTACGGTACTATAGGTATATAGATATAGCTTAGTAATATTAGAGGAGTAGTCTCTAGTTAGGCTCTTAGTCTAGCTATAAGGTAGCCTATAAATAGTAATAAGTCGTCTAATCTAGAGAATAATAATATAGAAGTAATTAATCTTAGGATTATAATAAAGAAGCTAGCTTAGGTAATGTTTGTCTTCCGATAAGTAGTATCCGAATACTTAAAGGTATTATATAGTATTAGGTTTAAGAGGTTTAAAGTTTTAGTATTAAGCTTTAATATTACTAAGTAGGTAGTAGTACCTTCCATAGTAAACAAAAGTCCGGAAGTCGAAACTCTAAAGGCGGGCTATATAAGGTATATAAGGTTTAAAATAAGGGGATTTAGCGTCGAAAAGATAAAGTTTTTAACTTAAGACTTCTAGAATCAATCGTAGAATAGTCTAAAGAGGTCTAGGGATTATTCTCTTAATACTATATAATAATAGTATTAATAGGTAGTTAGATAGATAGTATCTAGGGCTACTAGAACGCTCGACTCTAAGGTTAAAGACGTATAGTAAGAGGTCGAAAGATAAGGATTTAACTAATACTAATAGCGCGATATAGTTAAATCTATAAATAGCTTTAATTAAAGCCTTAGTATTCTCGAACGAGCCGGGTTTTACTAGCTGCTCTACTAAATAAAGGTAGGTTATAAAGTAGGAATAAGGTATAGATTAAAGAGTCCGACTATCGGATCTTAAAACTACTCTAGCGCCTATGTAACCAAATTAGCGTGGCTAAAGCCACCTAACCGATTACTCCCTCCATCTACTACCCCTTTCCACCACCACGAAATAGTCTCACCCCACACCCTCCCCCACGGGTTATAAAATCTAGCCACCTACGAAGTGCAACAAAAGATCCACGTTCTACGCACCAAACCAAAGCGATCTGACATCTAGCCACAACGGTCCTAAACGAATCCCAAGCAAAACCCAAGGTACAGTACCGTAACCGAAGGGTAGCCAAGCCAAACCCGCCTCCATCTAGCCACAACCCGCTCACCACCACCTCACCACACCACATCCCATCTAACCGAAACAAAGACGCTGCACCCCCCTCGTACGTTCTTACCTCTCACCCCAAATCCTCACATCCAATGAAAAAACCACCAACAATTTCCCATCACCTACCAAAATCCCGACAAGGTGATGGTGGTGGTATCTCATCCCGCGTTTGCGCCCCCGGTCATTTACGCCTCATAGCCTGGTCTCGACCATTTCATTTGCAACGTCGAACGAGCGAGCGGAGGCGGAGGCTGACTCCGCGTCCGTGAGGGAGGGGAAGCGGATCTAGAATCGAGTTGTTGGGAATGCCATGAGGGTGCGATGTGCAACAAGCCATTACATTGGTGCGTGCATTTACATCTTTCTTTTCGAATTTCTACAGTAAGGTAGGTAATTTCTTTTTTTTTGGAGGTCGAGAAGGTTACTGGATTGGGTGGGTGTGGGAGGTGCATGTATATCTGAGTCCTCGTATCTTACGGGTCTGATCTGAAACACGGGGGTTATTTATGTGGTATATATGAAACTAACCTTTAAGGCGCGTGGACAGGTAGGTAAGTATGATTCCAATTTCTCAATTGCCTCAGAAGTTCCAGAGTCACCTAGAAAGAGGCTGGTACACTCAAGCCCCTTTTCAAGCAACCAGCCCCTCGGTTCTACTCCTCAACCCATTCTGCGTTCTAGATTAGTCTAGAAGCAAGCAAAAGCAGCGGAAGCGCTAACGATCTTCCAGAACACCGGTAACAAAAAGCCATTGTTTGTGGACAAACAAAAAACCCCATTTATTTCCCCTGCTTGTTTTGTTTCTGCCTTTCCATAACAGCTTTCAACGGCAATTGTCAAAAGATACCTGCCAGGCTGCCACTATATCGACCCGGTTGGCTCGTGTATACGTATCTTGGAAATGCACCACTGGGGAATTACAGTAGATGCAAAAGATATACACCGCATCCTTCACATCTCTCTTCAACATACACACCCATATCCCCCTCCTACAGTACCCCTACAATATTCCCCTTCAGTATCCCTTTCCTACTACCAGTCCTTCTAAGAAAGTGGACCTCAGCAAACCTATAAGTATACCTCACACAAAGGATGGCACTTCAAGCTAGCACCAACAGTTCCACTTCCAAGCTCGGAATATAGCTAGTAGAAAGGGACGATGGACAGGTAGTAGAAGAATAGATTTCGATAAAGGCTTATTTATCACTCACCTAGTAGTTTAGTTATTATAGGTGTTCTCATTACTTAGGTATAGTAACCTAATAAATCCTACGCAGAATCTAATTAGCTACTAAGTAATCACAACTAGAATCGAGGAAGCAACAAAAGAAAACCACCAGCCAAAACTTCTACATACCATACAACACGCTTCTCAACAAATCTATCAAGATATAATACGGTACATAAACACTCAACGAGTTCCGTATCATAAACTTAAAACATAACAGTATAAAGATTCCCTTACAAATCAAACGTAATACATATACCCCCTCCCTCCCCCTTGGCCCCCTCTCTTCTATCTTCTATTATCATTGTACTCGAGCATTATAACTCCTACTTCTACTCCCACCCCAACTTAAAGAGTACGTAAACACACCCTTAACTTACCCCCCAAGACACAACACCCTATTGTGAGGGTTGAAACCCATGATGGAGGCTCGGGCCATGCCCTCGCTAAGCACTGACCAAAGTCCCCGCTCAGCACTGGCCATTCCCCCACTGCCAAGCAAGTCTCTGCTGTTCCATACTTTTCTGTTCTATTCTTTTGCATCATGTATTCGTTAGGCAGCTTCCTGGAATATTCCAGAGACTCTTCCTCTCTCTATATATAGAGGAAGAGCTTGCATGTATGTAGTCTTCACGCACTTCTTAATTGAATATTCGAAACCTCACCTTTGAGTTGTTCAAGGTCTGGCCTCTCACACCTATCCTCCCACCCATCCACTCACAACAATAACAACACACCAAGGTACCCCAATCCATATCCTCATCCAAATACTACCTGTCCACTTCTCCTCTACAGATCGGGCTGGAGTCGAAATCAATCTAGTCTAGTTTCCTAGAGTCGTCGAGACGATGTTTTGCTCGTACCTCGTAGATCGTTAGAGACTCTTATACTGAGGTTGGGTCGAAATACTCGCTTAGGAGTGAGTGGCTTTAATAGTAGCATTGAAAATACATTAATCTTACCGAGATATATGGATACCTAGCATGAGACAGAGCAGGTGGAATTTACAGAGTACTGTCCATTGGGAGACTGGTTGAAGTGAGAGTGAAATATTATAGCAAACCTACCTGTGAGTAGAGTGAAGACTGGGTAAGAGAATTGCAACTTGCAACTTACAACCTAGGTAACTTACTAACTCTGCAGCATTGCATCCCAGCAGAGCAGTGAACACACACCAGCACATAAATTTAGGTGATACAAACAAGATAGCATAGATTGCACTACATCTGAAAAGCTTCTTCTGCATTTCGCTCTACGCATTCAGTATACCATCTGGCCAAAAACCAAGCCGTAGCCGCAACAGACACTTTTATATTACAACTCTTCTCAGCCTACATACCACTCCATCCTCAAGATTTAACGAGCGAAATCTCTCCCCTAACCGGCATGCTCGACAATCTCACTAGCCACCTTTCCATCATCACCAATATAGCTTCGGATCTGTTCTGGCAACGCCACTTCCTTATAGTCCTCATCGTCATCTTCCAGCAGTAGGAGATTGATACTCGAACATTTGCTAGAGAAGACCTCGGTTTTCATGCTTTCCTTTCCAAGATAGATTTGCGCACCATCCACTTGGTCCATCATAATCGTTGGCAGAGTGCCCGTGACTTGGAGTCCGAAGTTGCTAGCCTTGATGACATCAATCGATGAGACGAGGGACTCAATAATCAGTGATAGACGAGGGCAGTTGTCAATAGAAATGGCGTTTGCTTTGCCTTTCACCATTATTGTGGTTTTGGTACAGCGGCTGACGAGGATTGAGTGAGAAATTTCGGCATGGATCTCAATAGGGTTTGGCTCGTTATCATAGTTTTCCTAGATTTGTTAGCACGCAAGTTCTCATGTTTGAATGAGGTGACGCTTACGATGATCCACTTATTGCCTTCCAATCGCTTGACAGGAGGCTTCTTGGTTCGCATTCCTTCAGGTTTTGGCTTCTTGCTAGGCGCAGCCGGAGACTTGGCTCTCGATGTCAAGCTAGCACTACTATCACTGCGTGTTGGAACAGATGCACCAGCTCTTAATGAGGGATTCTTGTGGGTCATTTGGTCAGGGTTGACCTTTCTGAGCCCCTTGGTAACCGCCTCGCCCTTGTTTAATTCGCTGAACACGGCATCGAGACCCCCAACTTCAGGGGCAGGTGCGGGTTTCGCAGGCTCATCAAATCTTGCTGGTGGTGGGGGTGGTCCAGGTGGGGGAGGAGGTGGTGCTCCTTTAGATGGTTGCTCAAAGCCTTTGACTACTTCTTCCAGAGGTTGGCCCTTGGGATTCCAAGGAACACCATGAGGGAAAGTCTCTACAATGTATTCCTTTAGAATCTTGAATATCTGGTAGTATGCTTGGATCCATTCGACTTGCTTAGGGTCACTATGCTTTTTGTCAGCCTCCCATCATCTCATTTCTGCGTAGGCATATTTACGATTCCTTGAACTCCTTCAATACTCGATTACCCCAGTATTCCGCAGAAGGCAAACAATCCTCAATCATCTTTGCCGGTTTAGATTCTAAAGTCACCCAGGCAATAACCGAAATACTTTCTGAGACGGCACTCAGATGGTGCCAGATTTCCTTCTTTGAGCGATTCTTGTCGCGGACTTCGTTTACGTCCGAGATGGCTTCTTGCAGAGGCTTGAGCAACTCCATAAACATTGGGGAATCCATAGCAGGTTTCTTCGCTTTTGCCGTGATGAGAAGGAATTTTCTTTGACCCATAAAGGCCCGCAGGACACCAGCAGCCTACAACCCTCATCAGTCCTATATCCGCCCAACACCTCCCGTGTAGCGTACCTGCTCTGAGATTGGGCCTCCGATTGCATCGCTCAATGCCACAAATTTCTTCACTGGTCCCTGAATGAATAGATCAAAGTCCTCGACGAACTCCGGGATATCCTCCTGGACGGACTTTGAGGCAGCCGGTGCACCTGCGACCGGAGGGGGAGGGAGAGGACCTGTTGGTGCAGGTGATGGAGCGGCACCGTTTACCCCTTGAGGCTCAGCGATGGTGGAGGAAGCTATATCCTCCAGCCGGGAGGTTGCTGCTTCGAGTCTGGTAATGATGGATGTCAGCTCAGCGCGGGAGACGGTCGGTACGATTTTGTCGTCCATGATGGATGGATAATGTAGTAGTAAGAATAATAAGTTTAGTAAGAATAATAAGTTGTGCACGTAGGTATTGGTACTTTGTACTCAAGTAGGTGTATGGAGGTCGCTGCGGAGAGCTAGGTAGGTAGGTAGGGCTTGGTGGGTTGGTGGGTTGGTGGGATTTGGGATTTGGGATATGGGTTATGGGAGGAAAGAGGTATGGGTATGACGGTACCTTTTGATGAGCGTAGTCAGGTTGTGCATATTATTTGTAGCCATGGCTTTGACTTTGGCTGCAGGCAATGGCAGTGGCAGAGCAGTGGGAGCTTGGATCCGGGTTAACTGAATGGAGGAATGATGCGCTGGCTTTCCCCTTTCCGCACGCGCGACAGAGTCAGTGGTTACAAGTCAAGTACCCAATGCAAATCTGACGGGGGGAGTGGAATCAGAGTGCCAGTAAGAGAGCAGCGGCTGAGCCAGCGGATTCAGTCCAGTCCAGACAACAGGTGAAGATTGGGATTGGCAAAGTTTGAGGTGAAGCACCAGCTGTCTCTGAGAGGATATGAAAATGTCTGAGCTGTGGTACAAGTGAGGCCTGTACGAGTCTTCATAGGTGAGCTCGAGTAGGCATAGACATAGGCGTCGACGCAGCCGCAGCCTGATCTTTCGCGCTACTGTACGGAGTACTCAGGTCCAGAGAGTTGGCCCTGGCACGTAGAGCCTGGGTACACCTGCAGGGATCTCCCAGGGCCCTTGCTTAAGCATGGCAGGCAGGCAGGGCACTCAACCGTCAGCGTTGACAAGGCTTCAAGGTCGAGCCCGTTTAGCGAGAAGGCTGCAGCTCTCTCCCCTGCACGGTACCAAGTATTGCATTGCACTTGGACCTGCACCTGCTTGAACGGGCAACAGCCTTCTATTTCTAGAGAAACCTTCTTGCGACTACACTACTCCCAGTTCCCCAGGTAAACATCATCACATTCACAAGGTGGACACTACACCAAGATGGCCTCGGAAGAACAGGACCGAGGCACGTCTCCCTCACAGGAGATTGACTTCTGTACCATGGGCATGTTCATCATAGGTAAGCGCTTATTCATTCATTTCACCAGACACCCACAAGCCAATTCAAAGATTATTTTGCCAGAGCTTCCTCTGTTCACTGCCTATATTTCTGCCTTGTTGAGTTTTGGTACTTGAGTAGATATCCCTGCGGTTTGCAATGGAGTCATGTTTTTCTGATTGTCTGCTTGCCTATACTTTATACACTAGCACTCTATATAATTTTCACCCATCTCTATCTGTGGAAAATCTCTGTTGGCTGCTTATCCGCTACTGCTATTTTCTTCCTGCATTTATTTATATGGAGTGGGGGTCACAAACTGGTAAAAGTCACACCGTTATCGTATCTTCCAAGTGGAATATCACCCTAGACAAGAGCTTCAAAAACGGTTATGGGCCTGCCTTTACATGAATATATTACACTTTTGTCTGCCTGATGCCTTCAATCATACTATGCTGCCTTGCAAAAAATACACAATATCACTTTCAGATCTGACCCAAGCTCCAGATGAAATTCATTACCACCCTCCCAAGCCACCAGTATATGACATTCTCGGAGGTGGTGGCTCATGGTCTGCCGTCGGTGCTCGCATGTTCTCACCACCCCCACTATCTAAGACCGTTTCCTGGATTGTGGACGAAGGTTCGGATTTCCCGGCATCCATCCGGGACCAAATCGCCTCATGGGAAACCTCTTGTCTGATACGTTCCGATCCATCTCGACATACGACCCGCGGATGGAATGGCTACGATGAACACCAGAACAGAGCATTCAAATATACAACAACCAAGTTGCGTCTTGACGAGAATTCTTTAAGCGAGCCACTTCTGTTTTCAAAGTCTTTTCACTTGATATGCTCGCCCGCCCGGTGCATACAACTCACCAATGCCATCCTCCGCCGACGGAAACGAGTCAACCCACGAGCACCCAAACCAATTTTCATATGGGAGCCTGTTCCAGATCTATGCATCCCATCGGAGCTTTTAAACACCACAAATGCTCTGCCTTATGTTGACATCTGCTCCCCAAATCACCACGAACTAGCGACGTTGATGGGCGACCCGGATTTAGGTCTCGATCCAGCAACAGGAGAAATATCCACAGCAGCTATTGAGCGTTCTTGTGAACAGTGAGTAATTACTTTCCTTTCTAAATCCCGAGTTTCATCCCAAAGGCCAGCCTGTGGGTTTTTTTCATTTCCAGACATTCAGCAACCACACGTTTTTGAAATCCACTGAGTACTAACCTCGAGAAAAACAGGCTACTCAGCTCCATGCCCCTCCAATCATACACCCTCATAGTCCGCGCGGGACCCAAAGGCTGCTTCGTCGCCAAAAACGGCGGCCGCAGTCGTCGCCCCTCCATCATCCGCAAAAAACGACCCGCAAACCACGCACGCGGGGGCCTAACACCAGAAATCGACATGATGGCCCTCTTCAGCGGTCTCATCAACGCAGACGGAAGCGTTGAGCGCGAAATCGTCACCGTAGACCCCGGCATCGAGCGCTGGATCCCCGCCTACTTCCAAGGCGATGCTCAACCCGTCCCTGATGCCGCTTTGTCGATATCATGTAACCCACTCCCATCCTCAGACCTCGAACCGCAGAGGACGGTCGTTCAACGGGTCCACTCAACCTTCGATCTGAACCTCGACAAGATGGAAATCGAGGAGACTCACCGAGCCCATGCGGTTGTTGATCCTACCGGGGGCGGTAACGCTTTCCTCGGCGCACTATCCGTTGGTCTCGCGCGCCAGAAGACGATCCTCGAGGCGACGGCGTGGGGGAGTGTTGCGGCTTCGTTTGCGATTGAGCAGGTGAGTGTGCCTACCGTGGGTGTTGATGATCAAGGGAGGGAGACGTGGAATGGTGTTCGAGTTGAAGAGAGGCTTGAGGAGTTCTGTAAAAGGACGGGGTTGACTGGGTTGTGAGCCCAGGTGGCTGGGAGGAAACCCAGGTGATGATGTTTTTTTTTTCTTTTTTCATGGATGTAGTCGTTTGGGAGGCAAAGATCTGTGGGTGGTGGTTTTATCCTAGCCCGAAAAGTTTCGTGGGGTCAATTTGGGTAGATGCAAATATGGAAAAATAAATGGTGTGGGAGGGGTTGGGAAAGGAGGGGGGGTATTACGAGTTAATGAAGTTGACGAATTTAGACTACAGCGATGAACATTCTACAGTAAGGAATACGAAGAAAAGTTTATAGAAATGGGGTGTATCTCATTACTCGATCCATACGATGTTACTCCACCTCGGTACTTCATTCGTTCGCTCATCTATCTCATAACCTAACTAAACAAACCAACCCACAAACTCCATGCCTACTGGAAAAAACTCCAGTCAGCCAATCTCATCATCCAATAAACCTCCTCCATTGAAAATCTTAAACTTTATACACCATCTCACCACCGGTGTACCTAACGAAAAATAATTAGCAAAATGGTCAAAAATAATAGCCCTAGTGATGGTTCAACTCAAGGAAGAATACTCACATAATCTGATTCACATCATCCATCTTCTTCAACGCAGCAACGACCTCATCCCTACTAAACGCTCCCCCCGCAGCTCCACCAATCGCTCTATTCACGCCCTGAACAATATTATTCACCTCAGCCGAGTCGTCATGAAAGAGATCGCTATCAATCAATTGCCCCAACGTCGTGCGGAAAACCTGGAAACGAGCCGGTGTGATGGTTGCGAGAGTCAAGGCTGCTGCACCGTCCGCGAGCTCGGCGTCTTCTTCCTGCGCTTGCGATTGGGATTGGGAGGGCAGTTGGGAAGCGGGGAGGGAGGAGGCGAAGGAAGTCTGGGATTGGGAGGGTCCGCCGTTGGTGGTGCGTGTGCGTTGTGGGGTGGCATCGTAGAGATCCTCATCTTCGTCCTCGTCGCCTCCTGAGACGGGGGTTCTGGAGCGGCCCTTGCCCTTGGATTTCTTGGGGACGGCGAGACCTCTTGTTCTTGCTGTTCCTGGGGTTCGAGATGTTCCTGCGCGGGTGGTAGGGGGTGGGGAATCTGAATCCGAGTCTGAACTGTCGTCTCCAGAGGTCTCGCCCTCAAGAGGTCGGGTCTTGCGGCGTTTGTTTCTCTTTTCGTCTTCGACGACTTCTTTGAAGAGGGCGAATCGCAGGATCTTTTCGGCGGCTATGGTATCGGCTTCCTGTACACGATTGGAGAGACGTGCTTTGGCGTGTGCTGTTGATAGACGGATAATGGTCTCGAGAGTTCTAACTGTCATGGCATTTGTTTTGCGCTGGTTGCCTATCATGTCGTCGTTTCGAAGCTTGACGTAAGTCTCGCCGATACGATCTGAAGCCTCTTGTGTTAAGATTGGCTTTATTCTTGACTTTGCGTATTGAATATATTTCTTAATAAATGGTATGCTCAGAACTTCGATCCGCTTGCTTGAGCCGCGTCCAGTAGTAGTCGTAACACCAGCATGGAGCATCTCGTTGTATTTCTCATAAACGTCTGTTGGGCGGTTGGCATCAGCTTCTTGCTCAACTCCTACACCTAGGGTTTGATGAGCCTGTTCTCGAACTGGTGCTCCTTCCTCCGTTCCTGGTTGTCTATAGCGATGCATCCGAAGAACATGTTCAGATATTTGCCGATCACGAGCATCATCTATATCATCCGTGACAATAAATAACAAATCAAAACGAGACAGAAGAGAATCTGGAAGAGCAATATTCTTATGCGGGTCCTTGTGTGTGTCGTACTGTCCAAATATAGGATTTGCAGCAGCTACCACACTGCATCGAGCATTAAGTGAGGTGTGGATACCGGCTTTCGCAATTGTAACAGTTTGTTGTTCCATAACTTCGTGGATAGCGACTCGATCAATGTCAGACATCTTGTCGAACTCATCAATACAGACCACACCACGATCAGCAAGAACCATGGCACCAGCTTCGAGCCTTCGCTCTCCAGTCTCCTTATCGGACGTAACAGCGGCCGTCAAACCAACACCAGATGAACCTCGACCAGTAGTGGCAATGGCCAGAGGAGCGGTGTTGAGTACAAATCGTAGAATCTGGGATTTGGCGGTAGATGGATCACCAACCATTAAAATGTTGATATCACCTCTCAAATGGGTTCCGTTTTCCAAATTCTTCTCAATCCCACCCAGCAGCATCAACAGAATCGCCCTTTTGATATATTCGTGTCCGTAAATACTAGGGGCTAGCGACTGGGACAAAAGATCGAAGAGATTCTTTTTCTTTGCAATTTTGTTGATGTTACGAATATCTGTGTCCGTAATCGTAGCAGCAGCGATTCCTCCGCCCGATTTCGAGGATAACATGACAATATTGTTAGCTAGAATAGTGGTTTTGAACAGAGCACTATTGTGGCTAGTATTTCTATTTCCAAGAGATCTGTAAATTCCGACAAGTTGAACGCGATCCCCGGGTTTGCATTTATCAACCAAATCATCGTCCAAAATGACATCCACTCCTCTTGGCAATTGTCCTGCTGGCGCTCGTTCTGGCATTTCTTGTATAGAAATGGTTTGGTGATCCCGATATGTGCAGTAACCATACTCGGTGACCAAAGGGTTACCCTCCTCGTCTTCTTGTGGATATACGCTGGTTGTGGTAGCTCCGCCTGCTGTCATTGTCTGATCTTTGTATTCTCTGAAATGAAATATCTTCTTTTTCTCGTTGTAATGTACGCTCTTAACGACCTTTGGACGAACAAGAGAACATCTCGTCACAATTCCTTCCAGGGAAACCATATGGTTGAGATGCGTCGAGGACAACGTTCGAGGGTTGCATGCATATTGTCCAAAGCTGCCAGAAAAGGCGCAGTAGTACATCGTGTCATCGGAAGTCTGTTGAGATGTGGTGCCCACAACTTTGACAATGTCGTGGAGCGCCTTGTCGAATGCTTGTGCATAGTCAAATGGGGAGTGTAGTAAACCCTCTGCCAATTCGGTATTATGGGCACGGATTTCGTCTATACTCACAACAAGTCTCCGTTGAAACTTCTGCAGCATCAATATGATCTCTGATCTGTAACTTCGAGCAGAAGTTCGCTCAACTGCGCGCGGTTAGAGGGGGCATCGTCAGGTAGAGGAACATGAAGGACGTACGAGGATCTAAGAATTCCTGTGCCTGGCGCACCCGGTCGCGGACCGCTTCGTCCCTGAGCTGGTATTCATCCATGTTGGTGGTGTAAGTGGTGTTGTTGTGGTACGGTGTGTTTTTGTGATGTCAATGATCCCCTTTTCCAAGAGAAATGAATTTCAGCCCCTCCACAAACGCGACGGACAGGGGTTTCACGCGTCGCGTAAAGTGGTCACGGGACCACTGCCAGGTATAGGTACCTGCAGTACTCAAGAAGCACCCAGGGTGGCAGTAGATGCCTAGCTCGTCATGATACAAGAATAAAAAAGTTATTACATAAATCTTACGGCCCAATTACTTGGATTTTTCTACGTTTTTTGGGCATTGATTCCTAATCTAGTCTTCCTAGAGGTAAACAGTTAGCAACGATTACGGATACTATCTATACCTTTGGTTTTTTGATATTTTACCCCCTGTGATGGCTTTATTGATTAGTTACATATATCATATGTTTCAGTCTTTCAGGTCAAAATTAAGGATGTTGAGATTTCTAAATGTTGACATAGGGACAATCTAGTTGAATATCGTTTCTTTTAGAAGTGTAAAGATATTGCTCCATTTTGAAATATCTGGTCTCACTGTTCAGATAAGAGCAGTAGCATCTTTGGTACGTTATTTGCAGATGTAGAAATTGGCGTGCATTCTTGAGTAACAGAAAAAAAGCGACTACAAACAGTAGCTAAAGAGCAACCGTGGAACAAAACGACTCCATACATTCCCTTGCAAATAACCACTCTCGGGAACTCTCCATCCAGCATGGATCATAAGAACCCACTAGGAGCTCATGTCTCTACTCCTGTCCGTCTCAATCTGAACGCTGTTTTCGCCCCATACCAGCCATACCAGCCATACTCAATCTCCGTAATTCTACGCTGAGCTCTAAAGGAGGACGTATCTTCAGGTTCCCGGATCAATAGTGCATTTTTACCAGCCACTTTGAAGTATACTTCTCCGGGTGTATCGCTGCATCGGATCAGACTGTTCGTGCTCAGAACAGCGCTCAAATAACTATTCTGAAGTGGGTCATATTCTGGTTGGATTCGCTCGTTGAAGAGAAACCGGACTGCATCAATAATCCCGCGCTCAAGAAGTGAAAATATGAGGTTGGGTGCACTTGCTTTATAATCCTTGTCCTTGTCCTGTGTAAGCGGAACCCATAAAGCAATTTCTCGAAGTTGGGGGAATTCCTGCGGCATTCTATCTGCAAATTGGTCAAATTTCCAGTATGGCAGGTCATAGAATGTTATCGGTGTGAGAACGAGACGGCGGATGTGATTTCTTGCTGTAAAACTGTCGTCGATAGTATCTAGGAAGACCCCATAATCCAACCACCAACGATTGATTTCGCACAGTTCGAAAAACTTGGGGGGAGCCGTCTGACTGATGGTCCCATTAACGATAGAATCGGTGATGAGTGCAATGAGGTTTCTTAGAATCCGAGCGGCCTCAGTTGACGTTGATTTGTTGATAAGAAGTAGTGAAAGCGCTGAACCGCATATTCGATACGAGGTCGACGATGCTTTTGGATATCTTAAGCCAGGTACTGATGGTCCCTTATTGCGTCTCTGGATTCCTATGAAGTTGATCTGCTGTTCTAAGGCCAATCGTAATATTTCGCTCTGCATCTCGAGGGGAAGATCCAGAAATCTACATGGGGGACGTCTATCAAAACATCAGAAAGAACAGATCAAGGCTAGTCTGAGAGGGTGTAACTTACGAAGCTCTTTGGGAGGAGGCCATCTTCGATGATTGGAGGATGGTTGTAGACATGCTTGAGTTGCAAAGGTCGCGCAGGTGGCAGGCAGCATGTGCAATCTTAAAAGGCAATGCAAGTATCGTTGCAACACGACCATACTATGTTGGCTAAAATTTGGATACGTACCAGGATTGCGAAAGCATTGTGAAGGTGAATGAGCATGGCTCGCTTCTTAACATGCCCGCCATGTAAATTGGAAGTTATTCACTTTTTATTGTACGACAAACGACTAAACCACCGCCCATGTACCACTTCACTAGTTTACTAGCAAAATCACCAGTGAAGTAATGCCGGCTCCATAGACGGTAGACAGTTCTGTTCTGAGTGCTCAACATACTCCTGCGCCAATATGGAATTAAAATCGTGTTTAGAGCACGTCTTACTGTATAAAGTGTACCACTTATAACAGGTGCACACCCAGAACTTCGATCTATCCACCATCCTACACACCTACAAGGCGACAGGACGACGCAGATATATAAGCAAGGGCATAAGAATTCGAGGCTGTTAGTCGCACGGCATATAGTAGTAGCATGTGGTAGTGGCATAGTATAGTAATACTATTGGTCAATGGTTTCATGTCCATCAAATTTGTATAGAAAACACGAATTAAAAGATGAGTGGATTATCGTCAAGTAAGAAAGACGAAAGAAGAAAATAACAAAATCCACAAGAATTAATTTTAGCAGTCAAAAAACCAGCAAGTTTCCGTTGACTCCGCTATGCAACTTTTTTGCATACAAAAAGTCTGGTATCCATAACACCTTGCCCCCCCAAATAACTCCCAAACCAATGCCAGTTACCACCGATTAGAACTAAATGATGATTAGTATCGGAACCAGTAATACGGAAACCTTGGAACATACGAGTTTCAATTGTGTTCTGTTCAGGCCTCTGGTAAAATTACTCAGAGCTCGTTGCTTGTTAGGACGTTGCTGCAATCTTCGGAATGCTTCTTGAATATGACGAGTCTCAACTGGAGTACGGCCTTCTGAAGGGGGATCAAACAATCCAGTGAGTTTGCGCTTCTTTCCCTGCTGCTCACCACCAGACTTCTCCTTGCCCAAGTCCTCCTGCTCCTTTATCTTGAGGGCTTCCTCTGTAAGTGTCTGTACAATCTCGAAAGTCAAGAAACCCAAGATATCCACAATATCATCGTTAGGTTTGGAGTCAGTAACGACACCAAATCCAGCCCACTCCTTAAATCGCTTCGCTTTTCGGAAAGTGAACGAGGCTTGTCGATATTCAGACCATGTGACGTATTCCTCCTTGGTCATCACTTTCGTCCGTTCATCAGCCTTTTTGAGACGCTGGAGAGTTGCATAATTCATTTCCTCCTCGTCCTCATCCTCTTCGTCGTCTCTCTCGGGTACTTCTTGGTTGTAGAAGGACGGGACTTCCCAAGGTAGGCCAACTTTAGCTTTCTTGTTCTTTTTAGTGGTATCAACGACCGGACCACCAGCGACAGCTGCGCCGGGCTCGTCTCCAGTTCCAAGATCGGCTTCGCCTCCTTTGTCGTCGGAATCCTTGACATTCTTTCGTACATCTTTCCAGGACAAAAATGTACGGAGACGAGAAACTTTGGCAAGGTCACCGCGGATCAAGAATATGAGATCGTCGGTCGAAATTGACCTACTCCCTCGACGGGAAGCTTGTTCAGTACACTGCCGTAACTGTAATAATCAGTACTGACCGCAGAGGCGAAAAAATCAGAACTTACCATCTCAATTACTTGTTGTCGCACAATCTCCTCAATCATGCCAGTGGTTTCAGGTGACGCTTCGGCCGCCTCTCCAGACACGTACATCATCTGTTTGTTTAGTTAGTGAGGCTTTATATCATCTTGTATGTACATTGAGTTGGGGGTTCCAATGGCGGAAATAAATTATGAGACCCCATGGAGGAAGTCAATGAGTGATTGGACTGCACTCCACCAATGATGATTCTCTAGGTGGACTAAGGAACTTACCTGCTGGATCTCAGTTCGGTATTTGGCAGTTTTGTCCGTCATGATGACTCCTTCGTTCCTGGTGTGCTCGTTCTCGGCGTTTTTTCGTGGGCGAATGAGTCTAATCAGCTTTCGATGAAGTTGCTGGGAACTCTTGATGTATAAACACGGGACTGAATGGGTGCCGGTGAGACGCCTGCAGATGAGGTTCAAAGACCGAGCGAGCTATTCCTAATTTGGACCATAAGACCCACATTACGCATTAATGAGACCCGACCTTATCGGCGATAAGATTTGACCCCTCCAACCTTTTTTGTGAGGACGCCGTAACGAAATCTTCCTCGCCCCTCAATCACAAAAATGAAAATCGAAGAGCTGCCAGACAATTTTCAAGAGTCCGTTCAGGTCTCCGAAAGCGTTCAAGATGGTCCCGCAATCTCGGGACCAGATCTCCTCGAACAAGCCATGAACGCCTTTACTGCACCACCAAATCCAGATGGCAGCCCTGGTCCTCAAGTTCCCCCAGGAATGGCTTCAATGCATGGGAAATCCTCAGAAGAAATCCTTGCCGAGCTGAATAAGAGTCCGTTGTTCATGACAGATTTGGAAGAAAACGACGATTTGGAAGCTTTGAAAGCATTGGCATATGAAGGAACCCCCGCAGAAGTTTCGCAGAGCTTCAAGGAACATGGAAATGACTGTTTTAAGGTCAAGCAGTGGGTGGATGCCAAGGAGTTTTATACAAAAGCGATCAACGTTCTGCTCATTGAAGTGAGGAAACGACAGAAGGCCTCGAAGGCTGGGAGGGCTAAAGAAGATACCGTGGAAGTTAAGAAAGAGGTGGGCATATTGGAGGCATGCTTGGTAAATCGAGCGGCGTGTCATCTGGAGCTTAAGAACTATAGAAGTTGTACCATGGATTGTGGGAGTGCGTTGAGGATTAACAACAAAAACGTCAAGGCTTATTATCGGTCTTCGAAGGCACTGCTGAGTCTAGGAAAAGTCACTGAGGCAGATGACTCTTGTGCGAGAGGGCTGGCAATTGATCCCGAAAATGTTTCTCTCAAGTCTGTCGCTAGAGACATCATCAAGAAACATGAAATTCTCTCTGCGAGGAGAAAATTTGAAATGGAACGAGAGCAGAAGAATAGGCAAGAGCAGATTGTCCTAAGAACGGCACTGAAAGCGAGGGGGATCAGAACCAGAAAAACTGCGCAACCGCCCGAGATGGAAGATGCAAAGATTCAGTTGGTCCCAGATCCATCCGATCCAACTTCAACAATAAGTTTTCCGGCTGTTCTACTCTACCCGTTGCATTTGGAGTCAGACTTTATCAAGGCCTTCAATGAGACCGAGCCGGTTGGCCATCACTTAAGTTACATTCTCCCGCTCCCATGGGATCTCAAGGGTGAGTACACACCTAATACCGTTGAATGCTACATTGAAACTACCAAAGGTGGATTGTTGAAAGTGGGGAAGAAAGCTGCGCTATTAAAAGTTTTGATCTCGGAGAATGTTGAAGTTGTAGATGAGGTTGTGAAGATATTTGTGGTGCCGAAAGCAAAAGCTGCTGCATGGATACAGGAGTTTAAAGCAAAGAAGGCTGCAGAGAAGTCTGGCCCTTGAACCTATTGGTGGCACCTGAAAAGACAAATGATATTGGTGTGGTGACAGAATTCCTTTTACTAAACACCAGCAGGGTTCATGCACTGCATCAAACCTGGAAGTCCCTCTGTCGTCTCACCTGGTAGGCTGTGCCACGAAGACGCCGGGCAGAGTGCCGTCGGGTCCGAAGATGGCTACATCTATCTGATCTTAAGAAGATTCGGAGAGTTGCTAAATAGGTTACCCAAACAAGGATGCGTACTTCAAGCAGCAGTGCTACCACGAACATCGAATCATGACCTACTATCAGTTCCAGCAAATTGGAAATTGCAAGAGACATTACTTAGTGCAATTTTTGAAATATCAAATTCGATTACATTGAGAGAGATGCCTTGTTTATGAACAAGGCGTTGGTGAAAAGTAAAAAAAACAAGTCACAAATCCTTAGACAATACCTTTCCTATCCACCATTCCTATCCCCTAATTGACGGCCAAAAACTCCAAACAAAATGCCATTCAACAAATGCAGTATTATGCGCAACAAAAAATGTTCTCTAGTCCTTCAGGGCGTTGCTTGTACAACGAATCCCTGAGGTGCCTCACATCGATGTGGCTCTCCTTCGCTTAACTCGTGGCCCGTCGGAAACCATTGAATCCACTTTCGCAGCCAAGTTGCTGGCATACTCTCCATCTTTCATGTTAAGGTTCATCAATAGCATTGCTGCATTCTGCTCGACGCCCCCTGGTGCGCTTCCGTTTCTCCCTGCATCTTCCATCTCTTTATCGGGCGACTTTCCAGCATCGCTCACCTTTTCGTCGGCAACACTTGGGCTCTCAGCCTCATACTCATCGTCAGCATCATCAGCCCTACGCTTGATGGCTGTCCACGAATTACTCATATGGACATCGATAAGACCCGTAGATCGTGGGATGGCGCTCAGAAGAGGATTAGAACCTGGAACGAGCCTGTGGGACTGAAGGTTGACCGAGGAGTTTGCAAGGTGAGAAGTTGTGTTGAGTGACTGCCAAGTTTGCGAGTGGTGAAGACTGTGACTGTTGACAGAAACGGGTGTAACAGGCGAGCAATAATACCCATCTCCACTGCTCGTCTCGCTGGCATTGCCATCAATGTCGGTATCTGTTGTTGTGCCATATGGACTGTCGCCACCGAAGGGTCTCTTCAAACGTAGACGTCTCTCGAGATTGTTGGAAGGTGTACTACGCATACTCAACGATGGCTCATATACTCTTTGCTGAGGCGAATAGCTGCTGCGGCTGGACTTTGGGGATTGCATGCTGTAATGCATACGATATCTTTCAGCTTCCTCAGTAGCTTGGACAACAATTGCTGGATCGATAGTCATACGCTTCCATTCGGGGGCTTCGGGTGGGACACATTGTGAAGGAAAATCTGGTCCGAAAATCGGGATCAGGGCACCCGCAATATCGGCGCAAAAGGTTGCACAGACCGCGAGAGCACAGCCAAATGGCATCCAATAACCTGGAGCTAATTAGATCGAAGACCCTGAGAAGCCTGTCAACTTACCCTGTGCAGCTAAAGAACCTCCGGTGATGCTATGCGTGATTTCCTTGAGACCAGGGTTCATACTCAACATCTTCGCAGGCATCGTCTTCGTATAAAATGTCAGTCTTGCGATAGCTGATGTCCAAGTACACGTACCTTGGAATATTTGCAGCACTTGAAGAAAGGTGTTATTCGCACAAGGCCGATGTTGTAATCCCACATAACCATGTAAGCCTTCTCGTCACCAGGGATTTTAAATGTGTACTGGAACACTGCAATCAAAATGAGCAGGCCATGGAGAATATTCGAATAAAGATTAGCATACCTTCGAAGCTTTCTCGGCCAGTCTTCTCAAGGAAGTTTTTCTTCTCGCTGTTGTAGGGAATGTGTCGGCAATATTCGTCAATTGTCCCAAAGGGGTAAACTTGGAATTTCTCGACTTCTTCCATCGCTTCCCTGCCAAGATTTTGAAATGGTGGGAAGTTGACTTCGCCCTTGATCTTTCCCTTGACAAAAACAGGGCCATCCTTAGACATTTTCTGCTTCTTGGTCGATGACTGATTTGGCAGCTGAGGGCTACCACGAGATGAGGTACAGAGCGATGATAGAGGACTTGAGGGAAGTCGTGTACCTCGCGGCTCTGGCTTGACGGGGTTGAGGAGGGATGCTACGGAAAGCATGGCGGTGAGTAGTGGAGGGGTTGGCAGTTCTGGGCCCCTAAATCTGCAAGTTGATAGGATTCGCTCTTCAACTACGAACGAAGTGTTATCAGTTGAAATAGCCCAGGCAGTAAATGCGCTGGTACAGTAGATCAGATGGCTAGTGTTTTGAAACTGGCAAACAGATCTATAGAAATAGATCGTCGTGGGCCTTTATGAGGCAATGAGCAAATAACGAGCTTGAGCTTCAAAGTCTCTTCGATGCCAGCGAGCGGTGCAGGTTCCTGCGGTCCTAGGCCGTCCCAGTGATGTCTTTACTCACTGTCAGCGATCTCGGTGTAGAGCGGTCTTTGTTGGCAATGTCTAGGAACCGACCTGGGGTAGAGAATGCCCGTTTGCCTCTCTCGACAGCTAATTCGTGAATTCGAGGGTAAAGGCACAAACCGACCTGTTGCAAGGGCCAAGTAAAACGTACGGTGAGTCTTTTGTGGTGCAACAACTGGTAAAGGAAAGGGTTCTGCTTGTATGGTTCTCTTGTGAATGAAATGAACTCCTTAACAAGATAAAGTCCAGGATGATAGTAAAACCATGGACTATGTGTAGAAGGCTTCTGTATAGATTCTTCGCTCCCGTGCCCGTCACCATGGAGCAGCCTGCCCTCCGAGCAACCTACATACGGAGCCCAGGGCAACGATCGAGGCATTTTGTCTCACTAGGCCCTCATCACAGCGGAAGAGCCGAATGGAAGAATCCAACAGGCGGCGTGACAGCAGAAGCATGTCTTTCCAGGCTCAGAAGGTGAGTTTGACACCAAATTAAGTGCCACATCCCGATCGGGAACGGGGCTTGTTTGAAAGTGGGTAGGAGTATCGCTGGGCACACCTGCTGGCCAGGAGTCTTGGGACGGGAGGCTGCAGTACCTGCGGGTGCGCTAAGGTGGTGGAGTGCCATTCCCTTTGAGACGGACAAAGAAAGCATAGCAATTAAGACGAAAACCCCAAAGACAACTTTGCTTGACTCGATGCACGTGGACTGCACCCCCCCAAGGATGACTTCCAGTGGGGGACGGCAAGGCTAGACATGGCGCAAAATATTAATCTCAGAAGGACGATATCTTGTCTTTGGCCCTTTGGATTTACACTACCAACTTTCCATCCTTGTAGTAAACTCCATGTCCCTATCCGTAGTGATCACATATTCCTCCTCCTGTTTCTCAAAGAGCTTCTACCGCCCTTCGAGAAAATGATGAGAATGTTCCCTGTACATAGCTAGCGCAAAGTCCACAGCTGTCACTTGAAAACTACTGCCAGGAATCGTAGACATGCATGCAGGCGCATGACGGGATATTGGTTGGTGGCTCCACCCTTCAGAAAATGGATTTAAGGGCATAATAAAGAGACACCAAGACTAATCCAGTGCAACTGGCATCTGGTATCGAATCCAGTATGGATGACTTGACCATTGATTTCAGATATGAAAAGCCCCGAAGTTTTGAGGGAAACAAAAAGCAAAAATGGGTAAAGTAGCAAACTTTCCTGAACTGCCATTTCGGGGCCTTATATAACCTCATGTTGAAAGATTGATACTGGTATAGCACTAAGCAGCTATACTCGAGTCGTGGCTGAAGTTGGAGTCTAGACGTGCGACCCAGATCAGCCAAAGTCTGCAGAGTCCCGATACACCCATGCGGCGATTCATGCCATTTAAACCAACCACGTTGTCGCCTATGCACTTGGACAAACGGAGAAACGAGACCAAGGATGCTGGATGTCATGATTGGTTGACACAGGCTTCATGCGTCTCTACATGCCTTGGTGATCGAAAATTCTCCTAGGGAGACTCGAAGCTGGCTTCGCGGGGTTCAAGCTGACAGGCTGGGGGGTCAATGTTAGTTTCCTTGAAGGTTATCTGCGCAGAAGGGTCAACCAGAGACCAGACGAGCTACCACACACCGCATAAGTAGCTCAACAGAACGAGAACCAGGTAACCTAATGGCCTTGGAAGACATCAAAAGACCAGAAGAGGTTCTCAGCGAGCATACAATGATGTCGAGCCGCGTAATAGGGAGCCGCTGCTCGTAGTGCTTCCTGCAGGTCGGTCTGGAAGTGGAAGCCCGTCACACCAGCGAGGAGGCTTCGCCTTCGCTCGGGACCTGCTTCTGACAGCCGTTGAAGTTTCAGATCTCTTGAACGCGCGGAGTACACAAAGATTGGAGGTGGCCGATACCCACGGACGAGCTGTATGACCTCGCGGGAGTTGCAAAAGGCGGGCCAGCGCAGTCAGTTCCCATCGGAAACTGTCCCTCATGGCGAATTGGTTCTGCGAGTGCCACAGGTGCTCCCTGAACCACGAGCGCCACGGACGTTGGCAGTTGGGTGTGATGTAAAGGGTCAGAAGCGAGTGTGACCTGTCAGTCTTCTAAAAGCGAAGCTTCATACCGATCCGATGAAAAAAAGGGGGGTGGACGCCAGTCGTCCCAAATCCAATGGCGGAGAATTCCCAGAGCCGAGCCAACCACCAATGGGCCGTCAGGGGTCCCCGCCACAGACCCACTTATCACGTGCACTTTCTCGTGATAAAATAGATTCAAGCCTTGTGGCCTGAGGCAGACATGAAAATTACGGGTCGCGTGGCTGTCGCGAAGAAAGAGCCGGGGCCACGGGAGTCGCAAACAACAACAACAATAATCCAAGTGCTTTGGTGTAATCCTTGAATCTCTCCCAGCACCTCTACGCCTCCTTTCCCTCAAAACAATGCGACAATAATAGTCGCACAACAATTCCGATTCACAGTCCTTCCTTTATGGTCTCTTAATTCAACCTACAGCCCGGCTCTGCTGCCTACCGCGACTCTCCTGCAGCTTCACCAATTCTGTTCCCCCCTTCAAATATACAAACAACCTCGAGACAACCTCACCCTCCCACACCAAGCTTGGGCGCGTTACACCTCCCACCGCCGCCATGAGTGACGACTCGCTGATGATGGACGACTCGATTGTCAATGGATACTCGGATGATGACTCGGATCCATTCTCCCCGGTTGCAGTACCAGTATGTTTTTTTGGCTCCCGCCCCTATCAATTGACCCCTCCATTGTCTCTCGGGTTCAGGCACCAAAAGCTAATCGCCTTCTGCGTAGAAATCCAAGGCAAAACCTGCTGCAAAGAAAGCCGCCGTCCCGAAGGCACCTAAAGCCAAAGCCACGAAGGCGCCTGCCAAAAAGATGGCACAAACCACATTGAAAACTAAGGCCGTCCCCAAGAAGCGCCCAATGCCAGAAAATGATGACGAAGATCCACCTTCTGACAATGACGTGTCTATGGACGACGATTCCGTTCTCTCAAATACCCCGCCGAATGCCAAAAAACAGAAGAAGGCTCCAGCCAAGAAAGCTGCAGGAAACCCTTTGCAGGAGAATTTCAACGAGAGCATGAATTTCGATGGCCCCTCTGATCCAAAGCCCTCGAAGACCAACAAAACTGCTACAGATAAATACCAGAAGCTTACTCAGCTGGAGCACATCATCAAACGTCCTGACACCTATATTGGCTCCGTGGAAAAGACTGAGCAGCAGATGTGGGTATACAATTCAGAAACATCGCAGATGGAGTTTCGAAAGGTCTCTTTTGTGCCCGGTCTTTACAAGATTCTCGATGAAATTCTCGTAAATGCCGCAGACAACAAGCAAAATGACCCAAACATGAAGATGATAAAAGTAATTGTCGATCGTGAAAAGGGTGAGATTAGTGTCGAGAACGACGGAGCAGGAATTCCAATTGAGATACATCAGGCAAGTAGTGAATTGAACACTTAAATTCAGGCTCTCGCTAATTTTACGATAATAGAAAGAAAAAATATACATTCCTGAGATGATTTTCGGTCACCTTTTGACTGGATCCAACTACGATGACGAGCAGGACAAGACTGCTGGTGGTCGTAATGGTTACGGAGCCAAGTTATGTAATATCTTCAGTACCGAGTTTACACTCGAAACACAAGACTCAAGTCGTGGCAAGCGGTACAAGCAAACCTGGACTGACAACATGAGCAAGATGGGCAAAGCAAAAATCTCTGCCAGTAAATCATCCGACTTCACCCGTGTCACCTTCACGCCCGACTATGCTAAATTCAAGATGGATGGTATAGATGATGACTTTGAAGCTCTTCTCAAGCGTCGTGTTTATGACATGGCTGGTACCGTGAAAGGCGTCAAGGTATCCCTCAACGGGACCAAAATCAATTTGAGTTTCAAGCAATACTGCGAGATGTACGCCAAGGCCATTCAAAAGGAGCGCGGTATGGAAGAAGGCGAGAAACCTGCCATGGCTACTGTTATTTTGGAGGATCCGAAAGCACATGAGCGTTGGGAGGTTGCTTTTGCAGTTTCAGACGGCTCTTTCAATCAAGTTTCGTTCGTCAACTCAATTGCAACGACTTCAGGTGGTACACACGTCAACTATATTGCCGATCAAATCTGCGATAAGTTGTTGGAAGTCGTGAAGAAGAAGAACGCCAAAGGTGCAGCGTTAAAGGCCAATCAAATCCGCAACCACATCTTCCTATTTGTTAATGCACTGATTGTGAATCCTTCATTCACATCTCAAACCAAGGAGCAACTCACAACACCGAAGAGTAGGTTTGGCAGTAAATGTATTTTGACACCCAAATTCCTCACCGATATCGGTAAGACGGAAGCGGTACAGAACATTTTGAACTTCCAAGCAGCTAAGGCGGATCAACAGCTCGCTAAGAGCGATGGCAACAAGCGTTCGCGTATGAGTAACGCTAAGCTTGTTGATGCAAATTTGGCTGGTACCAAACGTGGCCACGAGTGTACTTTGATCCTTACCGAAGGAGATTCCGCGAAAGGCTTAGCTGTCGCAGGAAGAGCAGTCCTGGACCCTGACCGAATTGGTGTATTTCCACTTCGAGGTAAATTGCTCAACGTTCGAGATGCAAGTATTGATCAAATCACGAAGAATGCCGAAATCCAAAACATCAAACAATTCCTTGGTTTGAAACATAAGCAAGTCTACAAGGACACGATGGGTCTTCGTTACGGGCATTTGATGATCATGGCTGATCAGGATCACGACGGAAGTCATATCAAAGGTCTTTTGATCAATTTCCTTCAAGTCCAGTTTCCAAGTTTGCTCAAGCTTCCGGACTTTTTCCAAGAGTTTATCACTCCGATTGTCAAAGTATACAAAGGTCCGAACCCCAAGAAACCCATTAGCTCTAAGGCGTTTTTCACCCTTCCCGAATATGAAACATGGAAGGAGAGGCATGCAAACGATAGAGCATGGAAGCACAAGTACTACAAGGGTTTGGGTACAAGTTTGCCCGAGGATGCGCAAGTCTACTTCAGTAATCTGGATCAGCATCTGCGAGAATTCGTGTCAATCAAGCCAGAGGAAGAGGAAATGATCGACCTGGTCTTCTCCAAAAAGAAGGCTGACGCTCGTAAGGCCTGGCTAGGAGACTTTGTGCCCGGCACTTTTCTCGACCATTCAACCAAGACTTTGACCTACGACAACTTTGTTAACAAGGAACTTATTCTCTTCAGTATGGCTGACAACCTCCGTTCTATTCCTTCGGTAATCGATGGATTCAAACCTGGACAAAGAAAAGTGATGTTTGCTTGTTTTAAGCGCAATCTTGTTCGAGATATGAAGGTGGTGGAACTTGGTGGATACGTGTCCGAAAATACCGCTTACCACCATGGTGAAGCATCTATGCACCAAACGATCATTGGACTTGCTCAAAACTTCGTCGGATCTAACAATGTAAACTGTCTCGAGCCAAGTGGAAATTTTGGAAGTCGTCTGGCAGGAGGTACCGATGCTGCAAGCCCTCGTTACATTTTTACGAGATTGTCGCCATTCGCAAGACGGGTCTTCTCGGTACTTGATGAGCCCATCTACGAACACAGCGTGGATGATGGAAAAAAGATTGAGCCGGTGGTATACTGTCCTGTCGTGCCAATGGTCCTTATCAATGGTGCCGATGGAATTGGCACTGGTTGGAGCACGACAATTCCAAATTTTAACCCCATTGATATTGTCAATAACCTCAAGCGTCGCATGGGCCGTCTCGAGGAATCTGATGGAGAGGAAAAACCATTTGAGACAATGAGCCCGTGGTTTCGTGGATGGAAAGGGACTCCCGAAGAAATCTCTCCCGGCAAGTATTCCTTCAATGGTATCATCAAAGAATCGGGAGCTGCGGAGGTAGAAATTACCGAGTTGCCTATTCGTGTCTGGACAGATGACTTCAAAGGCAAACTTGAAGAGATCATTAAGGGGGAGAAGGTCCCATCTTTCATCAAGGACTACAAAGAGTACAATGACCATAGAAGCGTGCACTTTATTATTCAAATGGATGAAAAGAACATGAAGGGAGTATTGGCTGACGGCCTCTTGGAGAGATTCAAGATGACCAAAGCAATCAACACCACCAATCTTGTTGCATTCGATACACGTGGCCAGATTCGTAAGTATGAGAAAGTGGAAGATATTCTTGAGGAGTACTATACCTATCGCTTGGGAATGTATACTAAGAGAAAGGTACATCCATGCTTCGTCAAATTGTTTTGGCTTTGCTAATCGTGCGCAGGTCTATTGGCTCGCCAAAATTAACACCGAGTACCGAAAGCTCAAGAACCAGGCCAGATTCGTAATGGAGATCATCGAGAACAAACTTGTGGTATCCAAAAAGAAAAAGCCTGTTCTCGTTGCCGAGTTAAGAAAGCGTGAATACGAAGCTTTCTCTAAAGTCAAAGACGCTCAGAAGGCTGGTGAAACCGATGACACTGTAGAGAACGACGACGAAGTTGCCGAGGACGAAGATGAAGGTGCCAGAGACTTTGATTATCTGCTTGGGGTATGTTGGGACGCAATTCGTATGGTTCTTGCTTAATGCTAACCTCGGTAGATGCCTATCTGGTCCCTCACACAAGAACGTGTAGATAAATTGAAGGCACAAATGGTCGGCAAGAAACAAGAACATGACACTATGGAGAAGCTGAGTGAAAAGGATCTTTGGTGTCAGGATCTCGACGCGTTTGTCCGAGAATGGGAGAACCAGTTGAAAGAGGAAGAGGACTATCAAAAGTCGATTAGGAACACAAATCGACGAGTTTCTCGAAAGATTGGAGCTGGCAAAAACATCGGCAAATCCAAGAAGGCGGATGATGATTACGCCCCGAAGGCCTCCAAGACCTCCAAGGTACCAAACGTTGTCGACAAACCACAGCCCAAAGCCCAACAACGATTCCTCGAAGCGTTCAACATCAAACCAAAGGCTAAACCAACATCCAACTCCATGGGCTCCGACGGTGCGGACGATACCGCCCAGGAACCTCGGGCAGTTTCTCTGTTGTCAGATGACGATTTTGAATCATTGAGGCCTTCAAAGCAAGAGTCTCGGGCGCCGAGTGAGCAACCTGCAGCGGGTGGTGGTAGAAGCAAACGTGCTGCTGCTGCCGCTCCCAAGAAATGGGTTATCGAAGATGAGTCGGAAAGCGATGATGACCAGCTTCTTGGTGACGTTGGAGATATGGTCAAGGGTATTGGTGGAGGAACTACTACCAACAAGTCTAATGGGCGTGTCTCATTGTTTGCCATGTCTCGACCTGAGAGTAGCCATGGAAGATCTACTAGCAATGACTTGCCCAAGATGAAATCGAAGCCCAGCAAGACCTTTGATTTCTCGGATGGGGATGAGACGAATTACGAGATGCTAGCAAGATCATCGCCTCAAAAGGCACCACCAGCTCCTAAAGATACTTTGGATATTGACAGCTTCCTGTCTGTCGACGAGGATGACGACATTATGCCATTGCCAAAGAAAGCTGCCTCTAAATCCTCTGTCCCGGCAGCGAAAGCACCTGTTAAAACTATCGCGAAGCGTGGTCCGAAACCCAAAGTCGCTGCTAAAGCTGCACCTCCAGCGAAAAAGGCCCCTGAGCCTAAACCTGTTGCCCTTTCCCCGCAAGCCAAAGCCTATGCCGCCAAGAAGTCCAAATTAATGGCCAAGAAAGACGTTTTCAGTGACGAAGACGAGGATGAGGATGAGGATGAGGACGTAGATATGGATGACAAGGCCGGGGGAAGTGCTACTGCGGAGGATTCTGCGGATGAATCGATGCCACCACAGCCAGCTGTAAGAGGCCGAGGGCGTCCAGCTCGAGCTGCTGCAGTTGTTGCTAAGACAAAGACAAAGACCAAACCCGTATACATTGATTCCGATGACGAGGATGAGATGGACGTGGATGATGAGGAGGACTCTGCTATTGTTGATGATGAGCAGAGTGAGGATGATTTTGATGAAAGCGAATAGTGATGTGTTTATGTTGTTTTTTTGGCGTCAATACCAGGAAGGATATGAAAATTTGCTAGGGAAAACATAATAGCTTTTGGGAGGTGCTAGCATTGGTTATGATTTTTCAATCTGCATCTTTCGTCTTGCAGAGTTTGTGGGCCTTTTACTGTACAATTATTCGTGGTCTGAGTCAATCCCATTACTGAGTACATATGAATCATCCGTCAAGTCGTGACACCGAATAAAAATTATGCCAAGGTCAGTAGGAAGAATCTTGGTCATTGTTCTGTATATGCCTATGAGAAGGCATTGTTCTAGATATTGTTGTCCACTTGAGCGGATTGGAGTCGATCAATTACTCGCAAGCCTGAGGTTGGGGTCATTGAATCTAGTGGCTCTAGGATCTAAGAACTTGAGATTTATACTGTTGCGCTAAAGTGTGCGAAGGCTCGGAGAATGATATGGGCTTCCGTTTCACCAGTTTGTGGCTGTACATTTGTACTTATATTGCCTCCCCAACCATCAGAAACTGCAGCTCAAGCCGATATTCTCTATCTAATGGAGACCAACAGACTCTTAGTCACGAGCTCTTTTCTCAATATCAAGCTTGAATCCACCTACGCAGCCTCGTTGGAACAGGCCTTCTGGATCGTACTTCCTGCTCACATCCTTGAGGAATTGCCAATTCTCCTCACCATAGCTCTCAAATGGTTTCTGCCATTCATTGCAATAATTCAAGTACCGGAACCTGTGACTCGTCTTATTGGCTGCAGCGAATGCTTCGATCTTTTCAAGTGTGAGATGAACAGTTGATTTGACAAATTCATCGTCAGTTCGCTTATCCCAGTTGACTGCGAAGCTTACGATCACTAGGGATTCGGTAGTATCGCGTAGGCCAAGGGGATTCTCGTCGCCTTTGCGTGCCCATGATGCTAGGAATGGCTGGAAAATTATTGAGAATGCCATTCCTTTTGGGTTCACACTACGGAGCAAATTAAAAGCTTCGGTGTATATGCGATGGGCGGCAGAGACAGTAGCTGGATCGTTGAGGATCGTTGTGCTGCCGAACGTTTGTCGTCTACCGCCCATATTTAGGTTGGCCATCTCCCATGTTGCGCTGGTCACAGTTTGAACTTTGCATGTACTCCAGTAGCGCCAGAGTGATGAAAACGGGGTGGCTTGCCAGCAGTTTGGCCATTTCTTTGGGTTTTCTGGCAAGGCGGTGGAGGCGAGATTGGCTCCGAGGACTTGAAGATTGAATCTTGGGAGATAGGAGAAGGTTATGATGAGGCCGGCTCCGTGACTAAAATCGTCGTTATCCATCTTATCGATGGTTTCATGGAAGGCGGCGAGCAATTTGGTGGCTTGGAAAGCGGGATAGTAGTTTAAATCGCCCCAGATTTTGCCACATGGGAAACTCTTGAGCGTGAATTTTGTCACGACGCCGAAGTTATTGGATCCGCCTTTGAGGGCTCTCCATAGATCGCGGTTGTTGTCTGCTGAGGCCGTGGTAATGGATCCGTCGGCGAGAACGACTTCGTAACTGATGACATTGGAACAGACCAGACCAAAGCGATGAGTAAAGTAGGAAAGGACACCTAGGAGTTTTTGTGTTGGTAAATAAACCTTAAAAAGCTAAGAACCCCAGGGGGAAGATGATAGATGGGTGAATGAGCTCAAGTGGAGATAACCTCGTGTGGTAGACGAGGATATTGAAAAGTATAACATCGATGAAATGTTGAGTTCTTACCACCGAGTGTAAACCCTCCAACTCCAACCTCTGCATTCCTCCCACCAGCAACCGCAAGTCCCCTCTCATCCAAAACCCTCGAGACGTCCATCCACCTAGCTCCCCCACCTATTACAACACTCTCACCGTCCTCGGATGGCGTTACACTATTCAGATATCGAAGATCAACCTGAGCACCACCCTTGATACTAGCGGCTACAGGAACTGGAGAATGACCCCCTCCTCGCACGGCAAAGATTCCACCATAGGGACCCTTGTTAGCATCCTGTCCGCTTTCTCGGTCATCATATTCTCGCTTGAAGATCTTGATCGCTGTGCTTAACTCTTGCACTGTCCGTGGTCGAACGATGCAGGCGGGGATCACCTCACTCTCTTGTTCAGCCCAGTACGCTTTTAGACCTTTTTTGAAGTCTTCAGCGTTATGTGGCAGGATAACGCTATTGGGAAGTGCTGTGGCAAGCTTCTGGGCTAGATTTAAGGCTTCGATGGAGACTGGCTCTATTTCCACGTTTTGGTGAAGTCGCGAGAGGCGGAGTCGATGAAGGATGAGATAGGTAATGCTGATGATAATAGCGAGCATGTTGAGGATGATTGCTAATTCGGACGCCATGTTTGCATGTGCTTAAATTCCTCGTGATGAAGAAAAATCATGCAGAGGCGAGGTTGGTACTCAGTTGGAATACTTTAGTGTGCAGAATAGCTTGTTGGTATATGGATTGAGCGACGATGAGTCGAATTGTGCTGCACCCCGCAACGGTTATGAATGTGTTAGAACGGTATTGATGAATAATCTTTATCGTAACTTGCTTCCACCATGCAGCTTCAAGAGTATCAGGCTCCTGTTAAACGACCTTTCAACCACTATCCAACCATACCCCTCTGGTGAATTTCATATTTCACGTTTCTTCAGGATTTCCTGAAATGCGTCTCTTAGTCTTTTCGTCTAAACCCTCATTCCTCTAATACCTGAGAATGCCAATGAGTCCTTGACTTCCTATCGTAGACCGTGAATTTACTGCGTGAACAATTGGGAGTGTAAATTATTCTCGGTCAATATCGGTGGAACTTGTGTGTTTTATGGTTTCCATGTTCTCGATGTAAAAGTTGGCCTTTTCAAAAAGTATAGAAGAAACTGTAGAACCACAGGACCGGGGATATAGTTGGATATAGCCGTGGGCCCGTGTCGGGATTGTAAACATCGACGAATAGAGTTATGAAGCCACTAAACAATTGTAAGATTGCATCAGAGTTAAACAACGGAATCTTTATCGGTTGTATCTTTTAGATGTCCTCGCGGTGTTTCATAGTCAACCAGTATATTGCTATCATGGATTTGAAAGGAATAGCTCCAGGAGCACCTCGCTTGACGTTGTGCTACCTAAGGGTTGCTTTCGCGCCTTCAAAAGATGAAGTAGAGGCTTCAGCTTTGAAACGGTACTGTATCTCTGCAAGACATAACACCCAATATCCTACAATCCAAACATAAAGACAGTACGAAGCACCCCTCTCAAATCGAGATAACCCTCGCTTAGTCTGTGTGCCTTCACCCCAACGCATAAACAGGTTCATCCCATTTTTTAGTCTGAAACCCGTCAGGGCGAGTACTGCAAAATCTTATTGCATCATAGAAGAATCTCCATGGAGTACCTCAACGTCGAAAGTCCAGGTTACAGAGTACACAGTACAAATAATTGGTTCTCCCAGACTAATCTGGAAAAACAAACTGTAATATCTTACTCTTCTTGTTCAAAGCAGGGTATTTCAGGTTTAACCGTTTTAGATAGCGTCAGATAATCAACTTAGCCACTAATGCTAGGTACTCAACTATCTGTAGTCAGCCATGCCTTCTGCTTAACGTATGGTATTTTATAGATATGAAATTGTCGTCCATGGGGAATTAATCGATAATGTACACAGGAAGATAAGTGAACTCTCCCAACGTTTTCGTAAACAAGACAAGTCAAAGGTAACAGTTATAAGAAAAAGAGGATCAAATGGAAACTATAAGACTTTATAGAAACTCCAAACTAGTTTTAATGCTCCAGGAAAACAGCTATAAAAATCTAGATTGATAAGTCTAGTTCACGTTCAATTCTTCAGATGTACTGTAGAATGACGAGGCAATTGATGAAGCGTTCCGCGAAACAATATTATTCTGAGATGACTCCCATGGTAAGGAGCGCGCTCATCTCACTCGTCAGATATGAGATAAACAATTTTCCTGATTTGAGCATAAGGAATCTTCCCCGCAAAGTTGTGTATGCAACGCTACATGTTTGCGAAGTACAGAGGTACTGAACACACAACAACTGCCGCTCCCCTGGTGTCCTCGTCAGTTTACACGACCCGAAAATGCGATAGATACCATCGTACAATGTACACTGGAAACCTGTCAATTTTCCTTCTTCGTACTCTGTGAGTTCGTCTCAATATTCCACGCTTCCCACGCTCACTGAGTGGTACTGGTGGCACTTGCCCGTGGTGGTGCACTTGCTTCAAGGTTACCTGCCCTGCCCGCAGGGAGCGCAGGACAGGGTAGGTTTTCCGAAAAGAAAAAGGGGCAACTCGACTCGGGTTAGTGGTGTATGCAGGTACGAAATGATTCCAGACACTGCATGTGTTTTGCAGATGCGGCGCGCTTAACGCGAGTAAATACGCAACATTTTGCTGAACCTTGTTTTTGATCTTGAGAAGGAAAAGAAAAGAAACAACGGATTTGAGCATAAATCTTCCAGCAGCAGATGACAAGACAAGGCGCGGGGGAGGTGAATTTTAGTGTTCGCGCATAGCGGCATACAGCAGAATTTGCTGGGGTTTGGGGTGAACCATTCACAATTCACTGTGGTTCGGGAAATTAATGCGGCAGCTGGGATAAGCAGGTGGAACTCGGGAGGGGAGGGGAAGGAAGAAGGAATGGCGGGAGAGGAAACAGGTGCTTATTTTATATATTTATATATATCGGAAGTAAGGATTTGCTGGGCAAACGTACGAGGGCGCGATAGTCTTGGATGGCGAAGGATGAAGATGAGGAATGAAGGCATACAGAAATCGCTAGATGGAGGGTTGCACTGTTGGTGTCGCTCGGAAAAGGAGTGTTTACTTTCACCCTCGTCTCGTACGCCCACCTGCAGCCAATCACAGCTCCACGACTCGGCCCATTTTGGTGGTAATGTGCGGTCAGCCAATGATGTTGGTCGCTTATAGATTATTATGGGTCTCCTTGGCCGACTGCCGTATGAGGAAATAAATCCAGCATCCAGCTCTCGACCACCTCCACCTCTTGCTCGTTGCTCTCTCTGAGAACCTTCAGTCGCTCCTTAACCGGCTCTCGTTAGGATCCTCAGCGCCATCGAGTCCTCTACGCTCCTTAATCGTTGTCGTTTGCTGCACTGCGTCATTTTATGCTTCTTGTCTGTTGCTGTCGTTCGCCCACGGGAAGCATCAGAGTTTGAGGTCCAGTTGAAACATCTCCAGGAGGTTCCCACGAAACGAACCGTCTATTTGCAGTTGCCGCCCACCATTCGATCCTCGCTTACCCCGATATTCCCAGTAGCTGTCAAGCTTCGAGAAGCTCCAATATCTGTGCAACAAACCTTGGTGCATGGTTCTCTTTCGACGATCGAGTGTTGAAATAGCATTGCAGTCTCACTAATTGCATCACCACGCACACAGGAAGCGTTGAGCAATTGCCGTCGCGGCTGCACTTCGACTCGAACAAGCCTCACCGGACGGCATCATTTGCCGCCAAGTGTGTCAAGTCCAGTCGAGTGGACCGAGTGTGAAGGAGGAAAAAAGGGAAAAGGTAGCCGTTGGAGGAAGGAGCACAGCTTGAAGACCGTTAGGAGAGAGTGGAGGCAGCCACCACGGAAAGAACATTCCTCTCGTTGCCAGGCAAAAATAGCAAAAATAGCCCGCGCAACCGAAGTCTATTATGGAGGCCAGAACATCCGCAGGTCCAGCCGAGGTGCACAGTGACCGTGACGCGATACAAGAAGTTCCAGTTGCTGGTGTTGTTGGGGAACCCGCATCCACATCTGCCTCGCCCAGAAGGATCGACAGTAGCGAAAACACGACTCCTGCTTCGCAACTGCCAATGCTTCACGATTCAATGGTCACAGTCCGCTTGTCCGAACCGCCAGTTTTAACTGTTGACACACGAACGAACATTCTCGCTGGCAGCAAGTTGCGAGTAGCCTCAACGCCCATCTCCCCATTGAAACGAGATATAGATTTCGACACTCCACAATCAACTTCTTCCCCGAATACAGCGCATACAGACACAGAAACACACAAGTTAGATGATGTGCAAGAAAATTTGGAAGTACAAGAAGAAGGTTCCCCACGAATAACCATGGTGGATCCCAATGGCAAAGAGATGGACAGCCCAATGAGCCCAGTTGATTTGGGATACCAAACATTTCAGGATGGAGTCGCGAAAAGAGATAGTGACCTCTCAGAGGAATCAGAAGAGTCGGAAGAGGTCAATTGGGAGGAGCTCGAGAAGACAGAAGAAAAGGAACCCCGCAGCGAATCCTCAGACGATGTAAGTGTTGCAGCGATAAATGACCATGTCTAATGCTAACAACTCCCAGTCTACTGCATTATTGCTGGCAAGACTCGAGCAAGAAAACAACAATCTGGTTTCGAATCCAAAGTCCGGTATTACTAAAGTACAGGTTGTCGAAAAAGAACCGGACAACAGAAAAACCAGAAGACAAACCAGACCACCTTCCATGCAGCACTTAAAGAGACTGGTCAATGGTCCAACACCTGCCGCATTACGGTACTCAATGTTACCCCCGCCTCCTATGACCGATCTCGAATTCTACGCTGCTCTGGTCCAAGACTACAGTAGGACGGCACAATATCTGCCGACATTACTGTCGAAGAAGATTAGAAGTGGTGTCCCGCCACCATTACGAGGTGTTGTTTGGCAGAGCATGTCTGGTGCAAGAGACGCGTTATTAGAGGAAGAGTTCGACAGATTGTGCGGCGAATCCAGTCCATATGAGGGTATAATCGGAAAGGATTTGGGAAGAAGTTTCCCAGGAGTGGAAATGTTCCGTGATCCTGAGGGAGACGGACAACGAATGCTTGGGAGAGTACTGAAATGCTTCAGTTTGTATGACCACAAGATCGGATACTGTCAAGGGTTAGGCTTCATTGTTGGCCCATTGCTTATGCATATGGGCGAAAAGCAAGCCTTTTGCGTTCTTGTTAGGTATGTTGCTTTGTGGCCTCTTGCAACTTTGGGAAAGTGCTAACTATGTTCAGGTTAATGGAGCATTACGACCTCCGAAGTTGCTTTCTTCCAGACTTATCAGGCCTCCATGTACGAATACACCAATTCCGAGAGTTGCTCAAACAACATTTACCCGAACTTTCTGCTCGATTGGACATCCTTCAGATCGATCCATCATATGTCTCGCAATGGTTCCTGTCCTTCTTCGCTGTTACATGTCCACTACCAATGCTCTTCCGAATCTACGATGTTATCTTTGCCGAGGGTGCTTCGGAGACCATAATGAGAGTTGCTTTATCGCTTATGCGAAAAAACGAGCAAAAAATATTGGCTTGCACTGAATTGGAGGATGTCATGCAATTGCTCCTCTCGAGGGGACTCTGGGATGTCTACCATTACAATGCCGACGAGTTTGTCAACGACTTTGTCAGTCTCACTGGGGTAGTCACGCATGAAAGTCTGCAGGCATTGGAACTGAGTTTCAAAGAAGCCGGGGCTGTCGATGCAGCGATACCTTCGGAAACCGTTGGCTCAACGGCCGCAAGATTTCTGGGTCGATTATGGGCGGGATCGAACACAAAACCAAGCCTCAGTCCCGGCTTAACAGCTCCATCACGACCTATCAGCTTCTTGCGGAGGTCGCCCTCGAAGCAAAGCATTGCTTCTACTCTCAACTCAATGGAGGGTGGTGCTTCGGATAGCATGATGAGTCAGTCGACGGATGCCACCTCCGTGTCCCGTGACTCGTCAAATGCAGATGTTACTTCCATTCGCACGCCGTCGGTTATGTCAAAGTCACATCAAGATAGAAACTTGCACAGTCAAATTGAGGATCTATTGGCGGCGCTAAGCGAGATGCAAAGAGACCATGCTGTGCTTGCAACTCAGCTGCAAAAAGAAAGAGAGGAACGAGAAGAGGACCAGCAGGCCTTCCGAACTCTCTTGAATGCTTTGAGAAAGAAAAAAAGCTCGGAGACCGTGATGAGTGGTGAAAGCTTAGAGACTGTGAAGGCGAGTCTAGTAAATAGGGGATCAGACACTCTTGGTGATGATCAAGATACTTCCTCTCCACGAGATTCCGCTTCGAGGTCTTCCACCACTGAACAACAGGATATTTCGACGATTCTGGAACACCTGGAAGGGCGATTTAATGCTCCACAGTCGAAACGCAGAGATTCAATAATACAATCAAAATCGCAATTACGAGAAGAACTATCTCGATCAAAAGAACAACTCGTCATTGAACAATCCAAAACACAAGAAGCGACTCGACGCATAGGAGAACAAGCACAGGAAATTTCCAATCTCAATGACCAAATCAAAGCAAGTCATATGCACGCCCGAAATGCACATGGTGAGAAGCAGCGACTGGAAAAACAAATTCAAGAATTAAAAGCCAGGAGGAGTGCCGCCAACACACCGGATGGCAATAAGGAGATGGAGAATGAATGGCCATCTCGGTCGTCGAATGGCGGACTACGTGAATTTAGACTCGGTCGAACGAATTCTGGTCAGTCCAATAAGACAGCATCATACAGCAAACGCACTTCGAGTCTCAATGCAGCAGCCATGATGGCAAGAGAGTCGGAAAGACCGGACTCCATCGAATCCACGCCCACAAAGTCCGATGTCGACACAGAAGCTCTTGTCCTTGAACTTGTACAGGCGAAAACCGGAAAAGCCATCGCCGAACAAGAAGCCGAAGAGGCCAAGGCAAAACTAGAGGCCCTGCGCAAGGTTCTTGCCCTCAATGGACTCAATGGAGCTAACATTTCAAACGATTCCCCAACCATCACCCTTCATCGTTCGACCCCAAGCGCCCCTATGATTGAGCGAACTCAATCAGCAGCACCTGCGGCACCTGCAGCAACCGGTGGTGGATTTATGGGCGGCTGGGGAGGTTGGGGCAGACGAGCTGTCAGTAGTGCTGGAGAAAAGACTCTTACTCCGAGTGGTTGAAAAGGGGATGAATGAAAAAGTTCTGTAAATTATTGATGAAGCGGAGATTAAATACCCGGTGGTTTGCGACGAAGACGAGATGATAAGCGACAATTGGGGAGTTTAACTGTATATGAGATGAGACCTAGCTGGGGGGCATTGGTGTTGGGGCTGAGAGAGTCGTTTTATCACCTTCATTCTGTAGATTCAGGAGATCCTACCTCAGGTAGAGTGAATTAATTAATTTGAGGCAAATGACAAGATGGCTTGATTGATGGACCTGATTACAATAGATTACCATCACCTCTTTGCCTTTTTCATCTTTAATGCGGGTGTGGCCGAGAAAGGACCCACATTTGTGATATATATATAAGGTTCGTACCCCCTCTTCCCCGCCCCCCTGAGAGTGCGGGGAAACTTTAAAAACGATAGATGGTGCCATTTATAGATGGGTTTTGTTGCATATCGCACAAAATGGACCGATTCGACTTGCCTAATCAGAGTTAGAGTTTGGGTGTCGAAAGTTTGTTCTCCACTTATTTTATATATGGCGTTCGCATGGCCTCGCTTAGTGAGTTGACAACACGTGGAGCTGGCTTTGTGTTGAGGGATGGTGGGAGAGGCGATGATAATGAGATGTGCATTATTTGTAGTTCTTAAGGTTGTGATAATAAGACTTAGCTTGGTTTGACTGGCTGATGATAGATGGTATCATTGCTGTGTAAAGAGGTGCGCGGCGTTATTTGAAGAAAGCGCTGGCTACTCGCGCCTCAACTAATACAACAACAGCCTTACTGAGTAAGTTGGCATGTCCACTTTTACTGTCTCCCAAATAACCTCTGCCAGAAAGCTTTCAAAGAAGTGGCGAAAAGGTAGTAGATGAATGGCATAAAAAACTTCCTGTTGGCGCCAGGTTCAAATACTAGACTCAATTGAGTTTTTGATTCCTTTCTCCCATGCAGGTCCCCGACTCCGTATTCATGTAACCCTCTCATCCCTCTCCTTGGTGGAGAAACTGCTGGCGTGTGCCGCTTTGGGTTTTATATGATCACAGACTAAATAATTGGGATAGTTAGTTAGAATTCCAATTTTGATGCTGATGAGCGATTTATTTGGATATACGATAGAGATGCATTTTTCTGCTTAAGTGGTGTGCAAGTTTTTGCTGTAAGAGTAATTTGATCGCCGGCTATAGATGGCGATGAGTCTATTCCGAATTTCAATTCCTCGGATTATATCACTCGTTATGCGAACATCTTTGTGGTCCTATTAATTAACTCTCTTATTTAGTACTGTATCTGATTTGGGGTATAGGACATTGCTCACGGTACGCATGCTTATGCGGTAGCTAATTACTATGGTATTTCGAGCTGTTGTAGATAGCAGCAGGATCTCTTTTTGCAATTGCCATGTCCAACGGTTTGTCGTTAATAAGCACAGGTAATTGTTGTAACTATATCGTCTGGAAGGGATAATTTAGAAGCTTAGAATATTCAAGTCTATTGTTTTTGAACACAAAGACCTCGTACAAAAATAGCGGGGTTCATTCGCCCCAAGCGAGTGGGATAGTTGCTTGTTTTTTCTGAGAAGGTTGAATTATGAGGTTTTGCATCCAGTCACCAGTGTAACAAGAACAATAATGCAGAATATGACATTACAATGACTGCGGAGTCAAGTCACTAGCTGTTGGTTGATGTATGTCAATAGAACTCTCAGCATCTCAACAGATGATAGGAAAGTACTGATTAGAAGTTTACAATGATAGAATAACATTAGTAACACTCATTTTTACACCTTGGACTTTTCAAAAGTCTTTCAAGTGCTCTTTATCCAGTAGACTTCGAAACCCCGATCTCTCATTCTTTTTTCCGTACCAGCTCCCTCTTCATATCCATCTCATTCAAGCCCCATTCGACTGCTTCCTTCATCCTTGTCTCCCTATCATCGTCAGGTTCATACCCTAATCTCTCCCTCGCCTTCTCAATTGAAAAAGTCGCCTCCTCAGTAAGATACCTAATTTGATACGGCTTCAAACCTGGCGGACTAAGATACCCAAACGTAAATATTAAGAACACCCACTCTCCAAGTGAAATCAAGAAGATAACCAACCACGTCGGAACAATCCAAATATCCTCTGGTCTCGGACAATTCTTAGGATCCGCAAGTCTGTAAACATCGTGGACGAAATCCCAAAACCGAACGGGTTGCCCGTCGGTGATGAAGAATAATTCGCCTGCTACGCCTGGTTTGTTCTTGGGAAGAGCTGCGGCGGCTAGGAGATGGGCTTTTGCGGAGTTGCGGGTGGAGAGGATATCGACTTTTGTGATGTTGGGTCCGATTTGGAAGTTTCGAAAACCAACTTTGCCTTTTGTGGCGTTGAGGATTGGAGGGATGGTTTGTTGGTCATGTGTTCCCAGGATGGTTGAGAGACGTAAACAACATGTTTTTAACGACTTGGAGTTGGCTTCTAGGACCGTAGCGTCGGCGACTGATTTTGTGAAGGGATATGGTTGAGATTTGAATTCTTTTCTTGCGTCTTGGCTGAGGTGGAAATAAGGCTGGGTCTCTTGGGCAAGATTGTAGGGCTTCTGAACCACGGTTATAGAGGAAGTGTAGACCAATACTTTGGTATATTCACTTTTGGTGGCGAGACTGAGCAGGATGTTTGTTCCTGTGATGTTGACGGAGTGAAAGTCTGAGGCTTTAGCACTTCCTGTGGTTATTGGAGATGCGCAGTGGAAGATCACGGTTGGCTTGACTTGGGAGATGACAGTTGCAATGTCGCTCTCTGAGGTGATACTACCGGCATGGTATTGGACATTGGGTTGCAGGCTGTGAGTGGGATTTCGAGAGAAGACATGAACTGAGGAATAGGTTTCATCGGAGAGTAATGCTTTGACCACGAAGTATCCAGCTTGGCCACAGCCTCCTGTGACGAGAGCGATTTCTCCAGATATACTGACTGCGGAAGTTTTTCTAGAATACTTTTACCGTGGAGTGGAAGGTGGAGCAATCGTGGAACAATCCAAGGCAGCTCAGGCCTAACTCAAATGTGGGTTGGTTTAAGCTTTGCTCAAGTTGAAAATACAAAGTATAATCATGCTTGCTTCGACAGGGACCTGATGGTAATTACTTGTACTTAGTAAAGACATGACGCATTCACAGTGAATGAAAAGAAGAGAAAATCAAGACGTGTATCTCAAATTTTTGGAATGTGGCTATACAACGAAATGCTTGCACGACTTGCAAAATGTCTGGACATTACCTAGTTATATAAGGTTTCGGTTACTCGTCGGTGTGCTTCAATCGACCAAGCAACCCTTACATTGGGAAAACGAGAGCCATGTATATGATTCACTGCTACTTTTGATGACCACCACCTAGTTTCCTGCTTCTAGGGGCAAGCAATTCATTCTACGAGGACCTTTCTTCTTCTGACTCCGTTGGTAGCTAGGAATGAAGCCACTCTCACGTGAATATCATGTGACTATGTATCCATTCACGGGTCAAGGTCGATCAGGTTTGAATTGAATTTTTCCGGAAATTCTCCTATTGAATCCTATTGGTCAATTGAGAAATAAGATTTGGAGTAGATGCTTGTCAAAACGTCCAATCGCTCGCGAGAACCCTGTCCAGCTGGATTTGAATCTCAGACGGAGGTCTAGACCGACTCAAGACCAGCAAATACGGCATTACGAAAGGTGTTTTCAGCGGAATCAAATACCGGTATTCGGTATATCTGATATTCATTCAGGAACAAAGGTTGCTATAATAAACATACCTCGCAGGTCGTTATCACCCAGAGTGGCCTAGTGGTGTGATCAACGGGAGCATCCACAGCGTCATACCATCACCGTTGTCTGGCTACAGTACTCTAGAACTCAACAAAAGCAACCTCGACCCGACCATAACAACGCCCTTGCCCAATCTCTTCTAGCCTCGCGTCCAAAGTCTTCGTTAGGTTGCGACAACAATTCTTAACTCATTCAACATCTATTCTTCGCGCTAGTATTGTTGAAATAATTTTACAGTACACCACTACAAAATATCCAGAGGAGGATTGAGATGGCATACCAACAGCAAGGGCAAGGCGCCGCAGCGGGGTATTATCAACAAGACGCTGGAATGCAACAGCAACAGCAAGCCTACAATCAACAACCCCCATATCAAAATCAAGTTCCCCCCCAAGAACCTCCGCAATATGGAAAACAGGAAAATCAAACAAATGGCGATATCAACCAAAACTACGGCTTTGAAGAGAAATTCAAGCTCGACAGACCGAAATTCAACGACCTCTGGGCTACTATTTTGTTCTCGGCTACCTTTCTAGGCTTCGTTGCTGTCAGTGGATTGACGATATATGGATACAGTCATACGAAGGGCCAGCAAGGACATGGCATTTACAATCCAAATTCGACGGCCGTCGCATTGAACAGCAATACTATAATACTCTTCGCCTTTGTGCTGGCTGTCGCCTTCGTTCTTAGTTTGGCGTATTTCTGGGTCATTCGAGCCTTTACGAAACAAGCCATCTGGATTACTGGAATTCTACAAATCGTCTTCGGCATTGGCACAGCGGTTGTTTACTTCGCTAGACATTGGTACAGCGCTGCCATTGTTTACCTCATCTTCACGGTCTTCTATATTATATGTTTTATAACCTGGATACCTCGCATTCCGTTCTCGGTTTTGATGTTGCAGGTTGTCATCGACGTCTCCAAAAATTACGGCCATGTGTTTGTAGTATCTCTCATTGGGGGAACGTTGGCAACGCCTTTCGGCGCTTGGTTTTCGGTGACTTTCGTTGCAGTCTATGCTCGATACTATCCTGGGGGCCCAGATTGTGGAGTCAATGGCGCTAGTTGCAGCTATGCCAAAGTAATTGGCCTTCTCCTTTTCATTACATTCGCAGGCTATTGGATTACAGAAGTAATAAAAAACGTCATTCACGTTACCATCTCTGGAGTTTATGGATCCTGGTATTTCTGTGCTCAAAAACCAGAGGGATTTCCTAAAGGAGCTACCCGTGGAGCATTCAAGCGGGCAATGACTTACAGCTTTGGGAGTATCAGTTTCGGAAGCCTTCTCGTGGCTATCATTCAACTCCTTCGCCAGGCCTGCTCTATCGCGCGGCAAAATGAGGCAGCGCAAGGCAATATCATGGGAACGATTTTCTTCTGCATTCTTGGGTGCTTTATTTCGCTTCTTGAATGGGCAATCCAATTCATCAACGAATATGCTTTCTCCTACATCGCTCTATATGGAAAGGCATACATGCCAGCCGCAAAGGTATTTCTAATCCCTATTTCCCTTCTTTCTGTACTAACATTCTTACAAGACAACCTGGCACATGATGAAAGACCGTGGCATCGATGCCCTCGTAAATGAATGCCTCATCAACCCCGTCCTAACCATGGGCTCTGTCTTCGTTGCATACGTCTGTTCCTTCCTCGCCTACCTCTACCTCTCTTTCACCAGTCCAGCTTACAATGCCAATAACTCCTTCACAGCCGTTGTCATGGCCTTTGCTTTCCTTATTGGACTACAGATCTCGAACATCTTCCTCGTTCCAATCAAGAGTGGAGTTGCGACTTTCTTCGTGGCTATGGCGTTCGATCCAGAGGTACTGATTAATGAGTATCCGGATTTGTGGAGGAGGATGGTGGAGGTATATCCGCATGTTTCGGAAGCTGTGCATGTTTGATGGGTAAAGAGTAGGGAGTGTGAGGGAGTCATGGGAATGCTGGATATTGGGTTTATGGAATGGGAAATGGATGAGATACCCCTTTTCATAATGGTGTTCTTCTGTTTTTCTTTTCCTTTGGGGTTTGATCGAATGGACAAGTCCAATATTTTTCAAGGATGAAAAGTCAGTGGGTATTAATGGGGCCGCGGTGGTAAAAGTATACTTGAATTAGTGGCATGAATTATGTATTGATAGAGTATACATAGTAAAAATAGAAACATCTACTATACTTTGAATCGTTGAGTTATATATTTATAGCAACTTAGTTTTCTGCATTAGTTGGCTCTAGAACGACCTCACTGACGATTTTTATCTCACGATTTCGTCCGCAGCCTTAGCTGTTCTTACAATCAAAGACTTATCATCTACTACCTCTCTCTATTGAACATCATTACGTTCTTTATAATAACAAAACCTTCAGGCTCGCCGACACTGAGGCCCCTCTCAGGATAAACCCACCAAATCTGGTGGAATTATAAGAGGTACTTAATCTTTACATTCTTTTTTTCTAAACCATTCTAATAATTCTTAGCACCACATTATCACGAAGCGGAAAAACAAACTTATCTTGAAATTCTTTTGAGGAGTGCGGCGGCAGTGGGGGGAGGCGGGGGTAACGGCTTGTGTGCGGTGCTTTTGGGTGGACATACTTTTGCTGACTGGGTTTACCAGGTTTTCTTGGGAGGGGTTTGGTTATATGGGGTGATGTTGATGTTGTTTTTGTAGTTTTGGGGGGTTGTGGGGCGGTGGGTTAGGCGAGGGTTGATTGGTGGAGGGTTGAGAGGGGGTGAGTGTGTCTTTGGATGTGTCTGGGTTGGGGAAAGGAGCGAGTGTGTCTTTGGAGAACTGTAGCGAAATGCTTATTTTGACTATGAAATCCTTGGTTAAGACTCGAGAAAGGGGGTCTTCTTATTGGGGGCTTTGAAAATGGCGGATTCTTTCTGGTAAGACTTAACAATTTGTTTCCAACGTTCAATAGAGATAGTAGACTTACAAAACACAGGTGAAATCTTAAAGTTCTAAGAACCTAACACAGCAGGCTAGAAGCATACCTATTTTCCTTGTAAAGCACATACTTAAACACATCGATTTCTCAAAACAGATTTACTTCACAGGCAAAAGCATCTCCCATTTTAAAAGACTACGAGTATTCATGGTTCAAAAACACTGAAGAAATCCACAGGTCCATCACCACCAATCTTAGTTCCACCCCCCGGAATATAAATCGACCCATTAACCCCAACAGCACTCGTCCCATGACGAGGGAGGTCCATAGGCCCCAGACTTTCCCAGCAATCACTCACCACATCATAAACCTCCGTCTGATTAAACACGCCATCCGACCCCTCATCCCGATTCCCTTCCCCACCAAAAACATAGAACTTCTCCCCAACCAGACCCGCAGAAATGCCACCTCGAGGCGTTGGCATCCTCCCATTCTTCGTCGTCCAGCCTTTCGCGACATCCAGTAGATCCAAGGCAAAAACCGTATCATTACAATTAAACTGCCCAAACGATCGCCCTCCAAGGACGAAATACGTACCACCCACCATCGAACCGGCTGCATGGTCTCTAGGTGCAGGTAGCGGGGGGAGGGTACTCCAACGGCCAGTGGTTGTATCATAGGAAGTAGTCGTATCAACCGTATCCTGCTCAGCACCCAAACTCTTCAATCCGCCCGCGAGGTAAATCACACTTCCCTTCACCGCTGTGACGGAAGCCCCTCGGTAATCAGGCATATCAGGTAGTCTGTCCCAGGAGTCACTTACGGGATCGTAAACGAAGGAATCGGGTGCCGCGTCCCAGAAAACTATCGGTGTCTCGGGAGATGGCACCATACCTCCTAGCACGTAGATTTTCCCATCGACGACGGCGGCGTTGATGTGGTTCATTGCTGTGGGGATGGAGCTCACATCGTACCATGTTGATGATGAGAGAGCGTAACGTTGGACGAGTGAGGTGGTTGGGATGGGGTAGCTATCGTTGTCGGGGACCATGCCGCCGATTATGTAGATACTGCCAGTGGTGGGGAGGTAGATGATTGTGTGTTCTTGCCGAGGGAAGAGGGGTATGGATGGGAGCGTGGTCCAGGAGGCCCTTTTTGGGTGCTGGTGGGGTGATGCATTGTTGGTGGTGGCGATGGCTAAGGTGATAAGTGTAAGAAGAGATTTCATTTTAAGAGGTAATTGAAGATTGAAATAATCTGTACTCTAAGCGACATAAATAGGTAGCAAAGATGAAAGTCGAGTGGGAAGGGTTGAATGACTATGCTGGTGGTGGTGTTGAGATCCCAATGTTGTCTCGCCACATCTGATATAGATATTGCATGCCTGCTATTGCATTCTTAATTAACCATAATTAACCATAATTAACCATGATTAACCTTGCCCTGTCTGATTCGTCACTCAGTATAGTGCCTTGCACAACAGTTTTATGTCACACAGTCATTTTTCCGAACTGGATGGCATTCTAGGTATCAACTTTCATGACGAAGTGCGCAACTTCCGCGATTCCAATTTCAAACATACCAAGCATGACGAATGAGAACCCAGGTACTTCAAATACATTTTCGTCCGACAAATACTGTTGCGCTGCATGAGGATATGATATCTTGCTCTAGACCACCAGTAGTCTATGCTTTTACTGGAAATTAGCGACGCCTAGTGATTTGCATTGGCAGAGTAGCCGTTGTTCCTCGAAAAATTGCACCGCTTAACTTTGGCCGCGACGAGGGCGAGATTGTCGTCGTGGTGTTGGTTTAGACATGGCCCAAAGGTGAAGGAATTGGGTAAGGCAGTTCATATGGACAAAGTTGGCAATGGAACTTTTTTTCGAATTATTTAATTTGTATTAGAGATAATAATCTATAGGGTTTTTTATACCTACGACTAGTTATAGAATATTTTAATTCCTACTTTTAGAATATTTCGGCTATTACGGGTACTTTCTACAACTTAAGATCTGTAAACTTTATAAAATAACAGTTTATAATTTAGAGGCGAGAGAAGTAATTTATTCCCTTTTTAAGTATAACGAGCTAAAGAACGATAAGCAATGACCTTGCTTGTAGAGGCTATATAAGTAATATAGTAGGCCCGATCCAGGACCTTTAATAACTCCGTTTTACTTATACTATCTAACTCCTCTAACGTTTCGAAAGCTAAGATAGTTAGTATAGAGTATAAGAATAGAAGTAAGTTACTTACACTTTAAGATACGCTAGAGAGGCTCTAATTTTATATAAATAAGTAGGTAAGTATATTATTAGACAGACTTTATATACTAATATCCTATAACTATATTAGATAATATATTATATAACTCCTACGGTCATCTACAGATTCCTATAGTCATTTACAGAACTAGTTAATACTAAATAGATTTTAAAAAGTAGGAATTAAAATGTTCTAAATATAGTCGTAGCTATATTAGACCCTGTAGATTATAAATTCAAATAGAATTTAAATAATTCGAAAAAAGGTTTCATTGCCAACTTTGTCCATATGAACTGCCTTAATTGGGACGAGCTTCTCTCATGTGCTGCCGGTATATTTGAACCGTGATATTGCACAGCTCCATCATTAGTAGTCTGCTATGATCTACGCTTCTTGCAGAAAGGTCCGTCCGAGAGTGTACTCATTTTGTCCGAAAGACCGTTTTGATGGAAAGTACCAAGTACTGCTGATATTTACGAAGGGAGATTGAGCTTTCAGGTCAAAAGCAGACTAGAGTAGGGTAATGTTAATAATCCGATTTTCACCATCTACGATTGTGAAAGTAATATTCGAGTTTTGGGGTTGAAGAACGTTATGTTGTTGCTCGCGTAAAAGATAAGAGACCATCTATCATCGTAAGTCAAGTCAAAAGCTATCTCAAGGAGCTTGCATGCTTCTAGTGAAAGACAAATATATGTAATAGTAGAGTCGATTAATGCATTGATATTTTGGAACTGTTGTGGAAGCATTGAAGTTACTGATGTCAGATTTGAATTGGTGTTACTGCGTAGTTTTACTGTGAGGTCGCGCGCATCTTCGTGTAAAGATGGGAAGTTTGAGTCGTTCGGTATGAAAATGGAGGAGCCATAGCCGCCGAGTGTCAAGCTTCCAAGGTTTCTATGCAGATCTGGTTTTCGATCGGAGAAAAATCAATAAGATGAGTCCTAGACACTATCAACTCGCTTGAGGGGTGGTCGAAAGATTCTCTTTTACTAAAAGCCAAGTAAAATGAAGAAAAAGCTCCGACCAAAAAAAGGAATGTGGCAAGGCTGGTCCTACATGAGATTATCATGTAGATTCAGAGCTCACTGGAGTACTATGAAGGCTCATGGCATTCACAAAAACAAAAGTAATCGCTTGTCCTCGCTTAATGCGCGGAGGGTTTGCTCGCGCACGCAGCTCGCGCAATGCGAAAATTCCCCAATCATATGTAATATGTGCTTTGACGATAGCACGCTTAGTTTTTGACCAGCATCCATGCCTAGGTCTCGGAATACAAACATCTACTGTACTTTGGGGGAATTCATCAGTTTCATCGACGTTCTAGGGCAATTTTTAGATTAGCCTCAACGGTACACCTAAGCTCCGATACATGAGCACGGAAGCAGAACCAATTAAATACACTTGTTCTTCATTGCGGCCTCTGCTATTCGAAGATCCAACAACAAGGATGTTGTCTGACTCATTTGAAATGTCGGCAATTGACTTAGATGCCGTTACATCGAGGCTGAAAACATGGGTATTTTGGTGGCAAAAGAGGAAATCACAGTCAGCAGAATCGATAATTCTAGGACATATCGCAGATGAATCGGTGTGCAGTCATGCAAACACTAACCTAGGACTCAATTCCTGGCAACACTTCCCTACCCCTGCTGGTGCATGCACTGCGCTGGACCCAATTCCCATTTCCTGATACTAAGAGAAATATATACAGATAGACAGAAAGTTCTTAGAGACGTCTCTTCAGGAACGCCCCCTGATCGGATGTATAGATATGGAATGCCATTTTCCGTCCTAGCTCGCTTATTCCCGTCACCATTGAGGGTTGTTATGAGACACTATAATTAATACCTTAACAAGTGTAAATAAGATAGTTCTGTGAAGTCGTTCTTATGAGGCTACCATCCAATTGTGTCGGTGACTTAAAGGATAGCTAATCCCGTGGCAAATCAAATCCATAAATCTCATTCCTAACAAATGAGTGACATCCAATCCGTTCCTTCATCACTCCCCAATTAGGAATTGGAGCCATCTTTTGAATAGAACTAATGTTTATTGAGAATCGATTCAAATAAACGAACTTCTTGTATTGAAATTCTTTTGTCAAATTCTTTTCATGAAACAAGATTAGTTACTTTGTAGAGTTTGCAATTAAAGCAACTAGAGCAACCAATAGCAAAATATGTACCAATACATTCAAGGTGTAAGCATACTCACGCTGGACTTGGGCACAGGGTTTTCGAGTTCCTACTCGCTATTATGCCTGCCAATTATATATGGCAAAGTGGGGATAGGAGTATCCCGCGAGGAGTAAACAGCAGATGGACTAACGCACGTAAACAGTTCGAGGACGGGTCAAGCGACAAACCCTGGTATTCTCAAGTAGTTGAGGTTGAAGTTCAGAGAAATGGGGTAGATGGTTATATACTAGCGCTGCTGTTTCAGCTTTTCTGCCTTTCATCAGTCTCTATAAACCCCTCTTACTTGGTTTGGAGTTGCTGTCTCCTCATTCGCTATCAGACATGTACTGAAGCATCAACACCAACCCCCTGGATAGATCTGAACCAGGTGAGATAGATGGATTCATCTGATTCCTCGTGTAAGAATCTGTATGACAACCAATGTGACTTGATTGTTTAGACACGAGCTAAGCGACAGGGAGAAACGCAGACTATAGGCACTTTTCAATATATATTGGTGTTTGTTTGGTGAGATTTGATGCAGCTGTAGCTGATCGAAACCAATAAAGCACTAACATAAAGTGACAGAATATTCAAGCCCATCCTTTCCCACCCACTACAAATTACAAATTACATTTAGTATCATCATCACCTTGAACTATTTATGCTTCCTTGGCTTTGCTAACGTTGACAACTAGAGGAGTACCATCAACTCTTTTGCATCTATCGCATTCAAATTCCATAAGATTGTTAGTGTACTATACATATGTATTGTTTCATGCTTAATAGACTACATTCGAATACGAAGAGTAATTGAAGGCTCTATAGAGATTAGAAAATAAATGAGAGCTCACATATCTTAGAACAGAGCACAATATATAACCATTTATTTAGACTCTATCATGAGTCGAGTTAAACATGATAACCCCTTATGATATAAAGTAACCTTTGTGACTGGATTTGCAGCTTGTGGAAAATCCGAAATGTCAACGCTTATTTCACTAGACTAAACTATTCTAATCCACTGAACCCAAGTAGTTATCCTCCGCTTACAACTATCATTCACTCAATAATCAAGACGAGTTCCTTGAGGTTGTGTAATTAGTCATTTTAATGACTACCTTTTAGAGACTTTGTTGGCACTCGAGGTTGGCAGCTCAAGAACTTGATCAATAGAGCATCGAGTTAAAAGTTACTATTTTGAGTTCGATACACCTCTTCTCCTGCCACACCCTCAACTTCTTCAATTTCACACCTTATAAGGATTCGTTGCCGCTTTACTAAACTATAATGGGAACGTATAAAGAAGCACAGCATGCTCCTCACCCACCAGTGGGAAGATCGCTCATAAAAGACTTGGATTCGCAATTCCGGTCCCAAGCCGTTCGAAACGTAAACATCCATGTTTTCATGTGTTCCGGACTTCCAACAAGGGGTTTCCCAGCTGTAATCTTGCTATCTTGGCTTTTGGGAGTGGATTGATAGCTCACCAAGAGACTTGTATCCCGTGGGTTGTGTGGGGAACAGAATTTCGCTGCAGAGAACGAACGAACACTGCTGCTTACTCCTTTCATGTGAAAGTCATACAACACCAAAGAGTCTCGAGACGGCAGTACTATTCTTCTCTATGGGCAACACGTGGGCTCGCTACAGGACAGTACAGAAGAATAGAGGCTCAGCATGAAGAAGGAAGTGCCGATACCATAATCGAGCTGTAGAAAAGCACTCAAACTGTAAACAATTCATGCATCCTGAAAACATCTCAGTCGCCTAAACACT